GAGCGGTTGTACCAGTCATCAAAGCAAAGGCGGGCGACTAGGATGGTCAGGTATGGATAAAATTTTGAAATAATGAGCAAGACAGAATTGCTCCCGTCTCAACTGAAGGGATGGTTCGAAGCAGTAGACATAGAGACTCTGTACGGGAGGTGTTCTAAAGGCTCCAGAGCCTAATCCGCAGAGCCTGATGATGAACAAGATCTAGTTTTAATAAAACAGAAGGACGGGCTGATCCGTAAGCCACTGGGCCATAATCTATCCTTGAGCGGGCCAGTGCTCTGTAGATGTGAAGTAGGGAGCTACGCTCTGCCCCTCAGGAGTTGTTTGCCAGGACGTTTAAAAGATTAAACACTTTGAAACACTTCTTACTTAAGTACATTACATGTGGCATGAAGGTTAATTTTGAATCAAACATTACTCACAGAAACTTCAACTTCCCGTACAACTGGAATTAATGATACTTCAAGATGAAACTCAGGCTCAGGATGAAGATGTCTCTTTCTGCAAAAGTGCATGCTAAAAGTCTTGTCTTTCAAAAATATAAAGCCCTGCTTATTTAACCATTTCTCAATTTTGTTAACAGCTACTTGCAACTGTCTCTCTATATATATCATATCTGCGAACCTTTGACAACTTATTTCGAGATCGTCAACATACAATGATCCCGAAACGGTAGTGGGAAGCTCATTCAACACAGAATTAATTCTTAAGATAAAATGGGTGACACTAAGCACAGAGCCTTGAGGCACTCCCTCTTCTTGATAGAACGTACTTGAAAGTATATGGCCAAGCCTTACTTGAAATGCCCTAGACTTCAAAAAGTTCTGTATAAAAACTGCCAGATTGCCACTGGCATACAGGTCACACAATATGCCATATCTCCATGCCTTATCATAAGCTTTCTGGATGTCAAAAAATACTGAAACTAAGTGTTTCCTTTTGACAAAGGCTTTACGGATGGAGGTTTCCAAAAGAAGTAAATTATCCGCTGTTGTTCTTCCTTTACGGAAACCACTTTGATAACATGAGATAACATTGTTTTTTCCCAGAAAATAGACCAAGCGGCGATTTACCATTTTTCCAAACAGTTTGCAGATACAGCTTGTTAAAGCAACTGGTCGATAGTTCGATGGATTTTTGGGGTCTTTTCCTGGCTTCGTTATAGGAATGATGACAGCCTTCTTCCATGATATTGGGAATGCATACTCTTTCCATACTCGATTGTATAGAGCAAGAAGGTTCGACAACGACTTGCAAGAAAGACGTTTCAACATTTCGTAGCTAAAATCATCCGAGCCTGGGCTCTGACAATGCCCTCTTTAGCTCGAGCATAGTAAAATCAGCATTATATGGTTCCAAGTTGGAAGACGTGAACGTAATGGGAGTTTTTTCTGAGCGACGCTTGACAGAAAGAAATGCTTGTGAATAATTTTTGTCACTGGAAGTGGCAGCAAAAGTCTCACCAATAGTATTCGCAATTTCTTCTGTGTTGCTAATCACTCAGCCATCTTTTTCCAGGATGGAAAGTGTGTGGTCTTTATATAATCCCCATGCTTTCTTAACCCTTTCCCATACTTGACGGTTTTGAATATTTTGGAAGCTTATTTGATGACTTTGGGATAGAGATTTCAGCTGCTTGAAGTATTTTGTTTGTAACAGCCTGCACTGCTTCATCTATTTGTACATTGTTCACTAACTCTTGTGTAACTGTGGCATTAGCGTTAAAGATATCCCAGTTTTCACGATCAAATATAAATTTTTCTGGTCATTCAATAGGAGAGTTAATTTCTCTTGGTAAAGACAAGAAGATGGGAAAATGATCGCTATTAAAGGGATGATTTCCCACACTAATTCTAAGAAGAGGCAAGAGGGCCGGTGAACAAATGGAAAGATCAAGCATATGGAATGTTCTCGTTGGCTGGTGGAAGTAGGTTTTCTCATCATTATTCACGAGGCAAAGAGAATGATCATCTATCATTTGCTCTATCTGTCATGCATGAGTTAGTGTCTCTACTTCCCCACATAGGACTATGACCGTTTAAATCTCCCAAAAATAGCAAAAGGGCAGGCAGCTGCTCTATGAGGTTCAGCTATCTGTTGCTGATCTATGTGTTCACTGGGTGGCAAGTAGAGAGAGCATACAGTCATTAGTATTCTTATATTTATTTGTAAGTGCTGTAGCTTGGAGGGGTGTTGTCAGTGGGATTATGTTAGATGGGTAATTAAGTGAAAATAAAACAGCTACACCTCCAGAGGCTCGATCATTACTGACGTATTTCTTCCTTACTATAGAGTATCCTCGCACTTTTACAGAACTTTCAGGTTTTAGGAGTGTTTCCTGTATTGTCAGGCATGCTGGATGGTGGATATTGATTAGCTCTTTTATGTTATCAAGACCGTGGTGGAAGCCACGACAGTTCCAGGAAATGAAAGTGGCCATCAAGAGAAACGAGGGACATCCTGTCCCTGCAATACTTTATCAACCTCATCCGGGATCCCGAAATACAGAAGGATCTGCGAGTGGCGGATGTGAAGGACATAAAAAGCGCTCTGTTGTACGCCGTGAAGTTCGAGGCAGCGCAGCAAGCAAATCGTAGAGATCGCTACCCACTCAGCTGTGCGAGTCCACGAGCCAGTGGATCAATTGATGGCTCGTTTAGATGATTTATCCAGACAAGTCAATGCTTTGATACGCTGTAGGAGTAAGAACAAAGTGGCTCTAAGGTGTTGGAAATGTGGGTGCTGTAGGGCACATACGACAGCACTGCAGAACACCTCAGGGCACGGATAATATAAGGGATGATTTTACAAGACCAGTGAACGCCTTGAGATGGAATATTGGTGAGAGGAAACCAACATTAAAGTGCTGGAACTACGGCGTTGAAGGCCACATACGAAGGAACTGCAGAACATCCCAGAGCACAGAAAATAAGACAGAGGAGCTAAACAGACTACTAAATGCCATGGAACGAAAAAGAAGTGACAAGAGACCAAAGTGCTGGAGCTGCGGAGCTGAAGGCCATGTGCAAAGGAACTGCAGAATACCCCAGAGTAGGGAAATTAAGACTATTTCCCAGGAACAACACAGGAAACAAATTAGTGACCATATCGAGGAACGGAGGTTGCCAGAGAATGAAAAACACCCCTTTTAGAGCGCTCAAGATTTCTGCAGTGAGTGGCAACAGTAATGGACTATCCATCAATGGGCATACCGACGGAGTTCATTGCAATATGATCATTGATGCAGGAGCTAATGTTACCATCATTCGGAGAGATCTAGCTCAACAGTTTAAAGATAAAACTTATTTGGACACCGTCCTGTGTTACCCTTCAGACTGCATCTGGTGATAAGATCGGCATAGCTTGGAAGTTAAACGTGAGCATCATGTTTGAAAGTGCCGCCTACCATCACATGGCATATGTGGTGGATATTACAGATCCATGTATACTCGGATTGGACTTTTTAAGGAAATATAATTTTTCCTTAGACTTCAAAAACAATAAGCTGTTCTCAGCATCTGAGGACATAATGATCCATCTTCAAAAAGGATCATCGCCTCGAAATGCCGACGTCTCATGTGAAAGACCCTACTAAGAAAGCTGCCGAAATAATACTAGGGTCGGAGAGAAACACCAGACTGCCAGCCATTCTCCATCTCAAATGCTCTTTGGTCGAGACCTTCGTCTGCCTTGTGACTGCCTGTTTGATTGCCATACGGATGCGCCTTCATCGCCTGAGGAATACATCCAAGATGTTCACGCCCGGTTTTAAATGATGCACCGTTCCGCATGAAAGCGAGTTAACTTGGCGACGGAGAAAGTGAAGACCAGATACAACACGAGAGCTACTGGACATACATTCAACAAAGGAGACAAGGTGTGGTTGTGGAACCCGACTCGCCGAAAGAGAGTCAGGCCTGAATTACAGTCATCTTGGGATGGTCCATACACAGTCCTAAACAGGCTGAATGACATCATGGTTTGGATCCGTAAGTCTTCGAACTCAACCTAAAATCGTTCATTACGACAGGTTAGCTCATTACTATGGCCATAGTACGTAGTGTAAATAATTGTAAATAGTGTAAGACCATGGTCCTTTTTGTTCCTAAATGTGTATTTGATGTCATTTATATTCAGTATTTACATTTGATTTGTATTTAGTTATTTCATTTTTTGTTCATGTTGTTTGATATTGTAATGTAATGGTTATTATTGCATTTATGCCATTAGTTGTAAGTTTGGCTTCCTGTCCAGGGATTGTACTGCCCAGGACATGCAGTCTTTGGAAAGGGGACAGTGTTACGGATTTGGTATTTAAATAGCTAATGTTAGTTGAATTATAAATTAAATGGTTTTATTCCCCACGCGCAGCAGTGTGTGATGAATATTAAAGGAAGGCTAAGCGGAAAATTAAAAATACAAGATCCCGTGCATTTAACATTCAATAAATAAATATCTCTTTTTGATTTCGAGAAAATTCCAGAAATTTCTCGTGCATGATTTAAAAAGCTTATATAAACGGCATGAAAACCTCTCAGTTTGTTGTTATTTTAGTTAGTTAGTTAGTTTGCTGTTGTTTTAACAGTTTGCTTAGAAAACTGCTCTTGTTGACTGTAGCGGATTAGCTTTCTTTAGCTGTTTTGAGTTAAGTTCTCTTGAACGTTTGAGTAGTTAAAAGATAACTACTGTGAGATATTGTAATACTGCATGAATATCTGAGGAAATTTAAGCATTTTTGTTGTGATATAATAAATTTTGTTCATTTTTATTCAATCTGATTTACAAATGAAAGGAATTGAAGCAATGCTGAATGGTTTTATCTGCTCAGCCACTCACCAATGCTTGAACTTTTCTCACCTATCTAATTAAACATAACTAAATAATTTAATACTATTGAAAGCTTTTGTACACATACATTTTTGCATATACTAGAGATATGTTACTCGTGTTACCTTATCTTTTATCCAATATTCTTTTTTGCTATGAAAAAAATAACTTACTTTCTAAGGATCCAGGTGAGATGGAATTTTCCAATGAGGGACCACTTGACATATGAAGGAGAACCTTCATACCCCCACCAAATAAGAGGGCAAAGCTTTCTTTGGTAAAATTTTGACCAACCAAGCGATATAAAACATGACAATCACACGTGCACAAGGCATGAATTAACTGACTTAGATAAACGCTAACAAAAGCCTCACACAACAGGGTGTGCAATCTGGGAGAATCTTCATCTTTATCTTGTGCCAAGAGTGCTCTCAAGGAAGCAACACCTGTAAAATAAAAAGAAAATATGGTTGTACCAAAAAATCATAATAATACCAACACCATAAAAGTCTTGGAAAAGATCACGAAATCTGAATTACTCGCAATGATTGACGGAGGTAGCTATTGCTTATTCCATTCCAAAATAAGTTGCATAACTACATTACAAAACATATGATCACTGTCTAGACAGTAGGGTGAGGGAGCAGAAAACTACTTCCACATCAATTAATAGTTTAGATTGTAATGCAGCATCAGGATTAGCTATTAAGCAAAATAAGCCCATTTTTAGGGCATCGAGGAAAGGAAGCACCACAAAATTTTCCAATTGCAAGTTTTACCATAGAATATATGGTGCAGCTAAACCAAAACTGAAAGAGAAGGAATGGAAAAAAAGGAGGGGTGTTGTACTGTAAATGAACATGGGGGCATCAAACTCCTTTAAATGCTTAGGACCCCTAAAAGTCTTAATCTGGGACACCAGTAACATCTTTGCAGAAAGCAGGCATAAAATCAGAGGTCCGGAAATTTACTTTTAAGAGGTTTGACCAACAGAGGTAGAAGGATAAAAGATCTGATTCCATACTCACAAGAGTTCTAAATCAAAAACTGAGATGTAGGTGAGCAAAACACACTGTTGTCATTGATAAGCCAATAATATGTATGTGATATATTTACTCATGATTACTTAATGAGTCCATGTGGCTAAAACTGGAATTCAATGTAAATAAGAACAGCAATGAAATACTTAATGTAAAAATTATGATAGATATTTTAAATATGATTTTTAAGAGTTAAAAATACTATCAAAGTAAATCCAAAGAGTTAAATTTTAACAAATTTGTATTCTATTTCATTCTATAAATGCAGCATTGTTAAATCTATAAAGAGTAAGAAACTAATTATCATGGGAACTATTTGCATGTACTATCTAATTCAATATGATGCAAATTACTTGCTTCAGAAAATATTAGAAATACTGAATTATAAAATGGACTTCTTCATCGTATTTTTTAATGTCAGGTTTCTTAAAATATTATTTTGTTTAAAAATATAAATGTAACAAGAAAACTGCATATATCTAGTAACTTTATAAATTAACATACAATCAAATATATAGTTCAGATTTCTGACTTTATTTCTTTTCTAATTTTGTTTCCAAGGACAGAACTAGATGCTATCAGTAGACATAAATAAATCCAGAGATATAACTACATTGTTATCCATCTATTTCAACTTAGACTACCTAAAATAAAATGACAGCGTTCTGAGTATTGTTCAATAAAGACTGAAGAACAAATTACATTTTTGCAGACTTTTATACATAGAAAAAGGTATGATTTTAATTTGTCTAATTAAACCTTTTTACTGGAAGCTACGATCATTCACTTTGATTACAAGAAAAACTTTTCTTCATAAGAGTTATAAAAATATTAATTTATTTACTAAAGTGCAGGTTCACTATGGTTTCATATACCACTAACTTATGAGAGAAGAATAGAACACACTGTTGCAATCCGCTTAAGCTGAGCATTGACATCAAAAGGTGTGGCTTGTCAATAGCCAACACCTTCCTTCGGTTTTCTTGAGAACTGGATCATTTTAATCAGTTATTTACAGATAATTATCTTCATTTTGGTTAACTTAACTAAGAATAATTAACTGTAAGTTTCTATATTTTTTATATAGGTTTAAATGCTATAAATGTAAAACCAGTGTAACATGCATGCATATAAATGAAATATCCATAAATATAAAACAAAAGAGAAGAATGCCAGGAAAAAAATCTGATGCCACATGTGCAAATCAGCTTGCTGAATTTAATTAACTAATATCTTAAGAGGGACATCCAAAAGATGGAGGATTATATAGGGTTTTTGAATCAGAAATTTTGGATATCTATCAATTATATGACTTTCATAACTATGATCGAATGACAGGTGTATTAAATAACACCAAAAGCCCAAAATACTCCCATTCTTGACTGTTTATAGAAAAAAAAATTAACTGCTAAAAATAGTCACAGAAAACCTGCTTATAATGCACACTATATAAATGAATATTTTAGATAAATTTAATCTTCTTTGCAGGATTTCATATGTTCTGCTGTATTTTATCTTCCTGATTTTGAGGTATTTACCCAGATTAGACCAAGGAATTAATTATAGCTAGGAGGAAGAGAGTATTTTCTGTTGATTCAGAAGTCAAACAACAAAAATCAGAGTTATATTTGTAAATTTTCACAGAAAATTTTCCCACCTGTTGTGAATTGTGCCAAATTATATGATCTTCCCAAAATTCATAAAAGTAGTATTCCTTTCCGCCCTGTTGTATCAAATTTAGGCACTGCCTCATATACGTTAGCTAAATAATTAGTTTCTAGATTTTGTACTCAAAATTTACACCATCAAAAATTCAATAGAGTTTGCAAAAAAGTTAAAAGCATTTCTCCTAGAAGTTTACTCATGGTTTTTGATGTAAAATCATTAGTCACCAATGTTCCAGTGCAGGAGCATTAAGATGTCTAGAAACCAAACTTCGTGAATTTTATTTCTCTTGCATCGAAACTGATGAGCTAATTTCTCTCACTCAACTCTGTTTGAAACAAACGCATTTTTGTTTTCAAAAATAAGTATTACAAGCAAACTGAGAAATTAGCCCAAGGAAGCCCCCTCGGTCCAATCCTGGCTGATATCTACATGCATTATTATGAATAAAATTATTTGGAACTTTTAACTTCCCGGTATGGTTCTGCTACATTGACGATACTTTACCCTGTTTGACAGTAATAAAGATGATTTAAATAAAGTTCTTTTAATAATGAATTCCATTGATCCTGCTATTCAGTTCACTTTTGAACTTGAGACATGCAAATTTCTTCCGTTCCTCAACATTTTGGTCACTTCCAACTTCAGTACTATGGTTTACCGCAAACCTTTATTGGTTTGCCTTCCACCACACTTCAGATTATGTCATCTGACTAAACAAAAGTTAGCTTTATTTTATTCCTATGTTTTCCATGCACTTCAAGTTTGCTCCTCCAAATTGGCTTTTGATTAAGAACTAATTTATTTAAAAACAGTAGCTATTGAGAGGGGCTTTTCACCTAACGTTATTACTTAAGCAATTAAAAAATTCTCATCTCAACACAACAAAAGGCATGATGAGATATAGGAGATGGTACCATTAGCCTTGATCAGGAAGCAAATTCTACTTGTTAAATTCAGAAACCAGTGAATTTTTTAAAAATTGCATTAAATATAAAATTAAGTGCACCACAATTCCTAAATCTTGTATTAATTAAATTTACTGATTCCACTGTCCAGCCAACTGTCAGGCCAATACCAAGCATGCAGGTTTAGTTTCCATAAAAAGCTTTGTTGTTGATTTGTTGTCCCTTTATTTATTTTCCCTATGTGTGCAATATTGCACATCCTCAATACAGCACCCAAGGCAATAAATTTGTAGTCAGAAATGAAATGACAGATGCCCAATTCTCCAGAAAATTCTAAATTGGCAGGTGCGAAATCATTTAGTTAAATACATATACAGTCAAAAGTCATTAATCCGGACTCATCGGGACTTCGGCGATTCCGGAGTATCGATTTTTCCGGATTATAGATCATCAGTTTAAATCTGGTAAGATGGCATGCAGAAATTATAAAATTAAAAATATGATATGAAATAAAGAACAATTATGATCTAAAGGGTATCAAAATTTACCAAAAGAAAAGCTTAATATTTATTTGTTTACTTATTAAACATTTCTTTCAATGTAAGTTGTTTAAGTTGCTTCGTTTTTATGTGATAATACTTCTCTTTAATTCTATATAAACAGACATAATTCTTGTTCAGTTACAAAGTTCCACTGTTCAAGTCCTATAATTGCTGTGTCGAGAATACCGACTAATTTGTCATCATCGAAATTTTTTCATTTTCAATAACCTCTGTCACTTTCTTCGCTATCGGAAGCGAATTATAATGACGAGGAATTTGATTTAAATCATATCAAAGACGGAGTACAGCGATGAAAATACTACATTTAGTAAGGAATTATAAGCCAAATAAAATAAAAAAACATCTGCCCTGAAAATAAGGATAGTGCTGAAGATCAACTTCCAATTCATTGCGTGCAGCGTGTTAAAGATAAACAAAGTTTAAACGATTAAAAACAACGCGAAAGTTTAGATAAACAAAGGATATGCCTTTATCCATTTTTTGCAGCAATTCCACTTCTTGTTTAAAGGACTTCAAAACATACTTGTGCTTTGTAGATCCTTTACATATTAGTAAATATATATCAGAAATTCTATTTGACATAATCGAAAGTTCAAGCTTACTTTTATAAAATTGCTCTAAAAGTCTGCAAAAAATAATAAGCCGAATCCAATTCAAAGATTAAGGAACAATGCAATCTGCAACATTAACTGAATTAGATAATTTTAGCTTAGATTATACCATCCGTAATACATTAAACGTGCATTAGTAAATGTATTTTGCGCACGCGCACACACATATTTGAAGCCATAAAGTCAACACGACACATGCGCAGAAAGTTTGTAGCTTTGAGGTCTGGATTATAGATGATTCCAGATTATGGGTGTCCGAATTAACGACTTTTGACTGTATAGCAAATAACTGAAAAGGCAAAAGAGCTATTACATAATAAAAGACTTTTATAATTAAAAATACTTTTCTGTAACAATTTCTTGAAAGATATACACCCTCTACAATATTTTTAAAGAATTAATTAAATACCAATTATATCTGAAACAATTCAAATTTCAAGAAAATTAAAGTACTTTTTAAGACAAAAGAAATTATAATTCACAACAGTAAAGTTTTTAGAATATTGTTAATTTATATATGAAGATTGTCTTGCAAATTAGAAATAGGATGTAGTAATTGCAGCTACATTATTACTAGTGATATTTTTCATATGCATGGATTATCCTAATAGAATGGACAAAGAAAAATTTTCATATTAAGTTCTAAAAATTATATATCCATCACCAACCAGTAGGTAAAATTAACTACCTACTTGAATAATCTTGAATTCTTTTAAACCATAATGCTTGTAAACCTGATATAGGAAGCGTGAATGTTCCATCATTTTCAATGGTTTGCAGCCAGTCCACAAACGAAACAGAAATACCTATATGCCAAAAAGCAAATTAAATTTGAAAAAATATAAATTAAAAGGGTTTGTAATTGATGGTATCAGTTTAAGATTACTTTGCTTCAAATGTCCAAACATCACACTTATGATATTCTAGGAAGAGAGCCTTCCCCTTCTCTTACAGGCTAATTAATGGACTAGACGTTGCAGCACATTAGTTTAATCCAAAAAATCCACAGTAAAATGCATAAAGAAAGAGACATGAAAAGTTCCTGTTCAAAGACCATAAAATGTTTATGAAGTACACTCCATTTGAAGAAACTGATGCCAGCTTTAAGCAGGTGTATCACCAACAAACTACATTAGAAAAGTTATTTTGGTAGAAGTCTGAAGGCCCGTCCACACGAGGACGCTCCCGACGTAGTTGACGTAACTTTTTTGATGCCGGCGTAAATTCACAGGACACAGAAGACTTAAAACTGAGTACGCTCCTGTTCAGCTTTTTCGCCCGCGACGCGCGCTATAGCCAATAGGCGCCCTGCTAGCTTTATCACGTGTCAATCAGAAAACCTTCTTGCTACCCGTTTCAATATGGCGTCAGAGCCACACAAAGATGAGGTTTTGCTTAGAAATCTAATGTATACAGCATAAAAATCAGCATTGTTCACGTCATCTTAGATTTCTCAACGTGTACATATCAGTATACATTTAAAATTCTCATTAAAGGAGAAAACTGTATACTTATAAAGCAATGATCTGACCAGTATATCCATATGCTTCACCTATTTATAACATCGTAAGTAATAGGGGACCTAAATAAATTACAGTTTCTACGAAATCAAAGTTCTGCCTTACTTACAAAATTCTCCTTAATTATTATAATATTGGCTATATCATGTGTAATAAAAAGCTCTATAAATCCCAATATTAATACACCAAAAACTCACTTCAGCAATATAATAACTCTAAAATAAAGCAGTTGACTGTGAAAGAGCATTCAAATAATACAATTACGAATTTTGGAGGAAAGTTACAACTTATGTCATACAGCAATCATTTATTAAAATTAATTAATTACCTTTGCAGAGACTTCTACTTGTACATTATTTTTCACAAACTGCTATCACAGATAGCTGAGTGGTAGCAGCGCTGCTTTGGTGGCGGAGGAATGGAAGGTGGCAAGTTTCGAACCTGACCCGTAGACGGTATAATTCAGTAAGCTTTTCTCATTTTGAAACGTGTTTCTATATTTAATCATGAATCATTATATTCTTATTTTACTATTATTATTTTCATTTCTTATTTTATTCTTATATTATTGTTTTTAATTTAGTTTAAAATGTGCAGTGCAAATAAAAATCCTTTGTAAATTATCTGCATCTCTTTTCATATATCATCTATAAATTCTCTCTTTATTTTACTTTATGCATATTTTATCATGCATAATTACTCATAAACTGTCCAAAGTTTGAACCTCATTCTAAATTCAAAAATAAATAAAAAGAAAACAAAAGACCAAGGAGGGCGAGTTAAAAAATATGAGTTGGTTTTTTATATGGTGGATGGTATATAAAGAGAATTAAGTAATTTAATCTCTTATATACTGTATTCCAAACCAATTTTATAATCCTAATTTAATACGATATAGAATTCCAGTCTGTCAAACTGGTCGATACTCATCCTGAAGGAATTAAAAAACAAGTAATATAAACCCCCTCCAAAAAAAAAATTAAGTCAATTTACTTAGGTCCACAAGAAAAGTTAAAAATACAAAATAAATAAATATAAATACAAACATAATTTTTTTAATTAAAAATTTACAAATTTTAATATGTGTAAAAGCTGTATTAACATCAAGTGTCATTCACTGCAAGTTTAAAAATTGTATTTGAACTTGAGTGGATGAATAAAAGCTTTTATGTACGAAATTTGAATAAGATATAGGGAAAGTGTGAGCTAATAGTAGGAATTTAATAATTCCAGATATTCCTTTCGCAAACAAGGCAGTTAAAAAAAAAAAAAAAAACTCTTTGAACAGGTTGCTCTAAATAAATCTTTCGGACTCATTCTTGCCATTTTTTGCGGTTTTGCCTCTGCTTAATAATTGCACATAATAGTAAAGTTTCAGCTATAAAAAAAATCATCTGACTCGGACAACTTGCCGCAAACATACAGAAGAACAGCGAAGTAATAAGATACAGCTCTGTTTACAGCGTCATGTGATTTTTGCACAAAATAATTCTATTGGTTAAACGCACACTTTGCAGGCGTACTCGTTTGGATGCTTTTACACTGGTAACGTAAAAGCGCGTTCGTCAGCTATGTTTCGAGCGTACTCGTGTGGACGAGCCTTGATATCTACAGAATAAAAAAAGTCCATTACATCGTCTTTCATCATTCAAGCAAAACCATCTTTCAAGAATTTTTCCAACAAATGAAAGATAAAATTCTTCCCAGTAAGAGATCTGTATTCTAGAACCAAGATCACTTATGTAAACATGTTGAATTTCTGATCCAAATAGAAGGACATCTTTCAGATTTGTAATGTTTCCCCCTGTGGCTCATCAGAATTAATAAATTATAGTGGATAAGCATCCAACCAACAACTCTAGCACAGTCAAAATAGAAAACAAATGCCTGTTTTGAACACATCTGTTAGCAATGATGTCACCAAAGTACAAACTACCATTACATAGGGAATTATAAACAAAATATACATGTTAGAAATTACAGAACTCGACCATGGTCTTTAAAACAACTCTTTCTGTATAGTATACATGCAGCCTTGACTATAGAGAACAGAATTTTTTTTAATCATCCCACATACATGAAAATCTGCTGAAAGATTCTGTGAAATTAAGCAAAATAAAAAGTGCATTAAATGATACCAAATCACTAACTTTTTTTTAAACCATGAAATGCGCTTATATAAATTCAGCAGAAAACATTTCTTAAAAAACAGTTGAAAATAATAAATAAATTTTGTTTTCATCACATGAAAGGACAGTGAAATTTTTTGTGAATAAAACATTTAGTCCTATTATTTATGTTAAAGTGAAATCATAACTGTTATACTTGCTTAGTTATTTTTATAAAGAGATACTTACATAAAGTCATGAAAAGCATTAAAAATATTAACTAAAATTGACAAACTGATAAGCATCATTGCTGTGCATGTTTAGAATTCCCAATATGATGTTAAGTGTTGGCATACATTTGTTCTGCCTCCCCCCCCCCAGTCTTTTCTCAGTTTATCATATCAATGTTCAGTTTTCTTCGTAAGATAGTTGGCAAAACTTTTTTTGTTAACTTTATTTAGTAAGTATCACATTCTGCACACTTACACCTCATAAAATTCAATTCAACAGCAAAATCACCAAATATTTAAAAACAGCACAGCTTCAGAATATCTGATATACAGTCTCGTGCGCTGGAGATAAAGATGCTTTATTCTGTACGGTGTTGCTACTGATACCTTTTAAATCATTCAATTTGTTAATCAAAAATTTTCAAAGTTAAAAATTTTTAAAGTTTTTTCAAACTACAAAATAAATAATAAAAAATATACAATGGCATTTTATGAAAATATTGAATATTTTTAAGTAGATAGATCATGAATTAAATGCATTTTTATTACTTAAATCAATCCAATCCAAAAGTAACAAATGAATGTTCTTAAGAACTGCATCTGTTGCTTTCAAATAACTTAGTTTGTCAAGCCACAGCAGACAGATTCAATTTGAAAGATACATTTTACCAAATGGCAACAGATTCAAATGAAAAGTTATTTATAGTGATTCACCGCAAAACTCATTTTAAGACTAATAGGCTTGGGATAAAAACAATTTTTAAATTTTTTTTGATTAATTTTATTTATTTATTTCTTAAAAGACCAATGCAAATAGAAATTACTTTTTATGGGGCACTCTATGTGTCAATTTTCTTTACTTCAATCTCATAAGCTATAAAGTATTAATTAATGATTTAACACTCAATATATATAGTAAAACTGCAATGATGTTGAAACTATTTTTATATAAATAAAACTCATGTTCAATTCTTTTTTAACACTTAAAGCTTGATTTTTTAAAAATATAATAAATCTAACCTGGCCACCTGTTAGGTGGTGTTGTGGGCATCATTTCCTCATCTCCACTATGATGGCGAGCTCGACTAATATGCCCGGCCAATAAATGACTATTTTGATAGACTACACCAGAACTGTAACAACAAATAAATAAGAAAATAATAACTTCTTTCCTCATATAAAAAAGCAGTAATTTTATATATGAAAATAAATTTATCATTATTTAGCACAAAAATATTTCTTAATTATTATTTTATTACTAAACTACATAAAAAGTTATGTTTTAAAAAGCTAATATTTTAAAATTAAAATGCTAGAAAATATTCCAGTCAAGATTTTACAGGATCATAAGGAGATGGTAATTTTGCATTTCATATAAATTTACTTGTAAAAATTAACATCAGGTTAGAGTGTGATTTACCATTTACTCTTAGAAATTTAAGAAAACATTATTGTAATACAAATACTTCATGTACTTGGTATACTATATTCTTATTATTTTTAAAAATAATTTAAAACATAATGCACTTGCAGATATATGTAACATAAAAAAATTTCCACAAACTAGCATGTTTAGATAATTTACGTTATAGAATGCTGGTAAACTTCAGAAAAGCACTTTTTTTATAACTAAGATAAATAAATATGAAGAAAAACTTATCACCAAAATAAACTTAATTCGAATAATCCTTAATATTCTTAACTCAAATTGCACACATCCCCTTTTTGAGCGCCATATTGCATCATGTTACATTAAGCTTTTCTTGCAGTAACCATAACGCAAAATCTTTTGCCCAGTCACTGCTCAGGATTAATACAAAGACTTTCCAAGCTTATAAAAACTATTGCAGTTATTATGCATCACTCTTTTGCCAGCTTGCTCTGCCTGGCAAAGTCACAGCTCTTTGCTAAGCTTCTTTTTCTGTTATCTACACTGTAAACTGTGTATATAGAAATTATAGGGTGCGTTTAGCATCTCTAGCATTGTACCAATTTAAGCTAAAATTTACTTCTGAGTATTGTCCCTCTTCAAAATAAAAATGATGTTTCAAACATCAAGCCTGTTGTGATTTTTGTTCCAGTCAGATCTACACAACAGTTTTTCTCAGCAATGACTAAAAAGTGAATTGATTTCATGTTCTTTAGTCAACTCTCTGCTAAATTCTATAAATGTACCATGACTGTGAAACTCTAAAATATCACACACATCCATCCATCTGTCCATCTCCCTATATATAGATCTATATATCCTATATATAGATCTATATATTTACATATAAATATAATCCGTTAGTAAATAAATTATCTATCTATATACATATAGAAGGTTTTTTTTTCTAAATAACCACTGCCAAAGAATTGAATTAAAAAGCTAGAAATACGTCATTTCTCTGTTTACACAAAAATAATATCAATTTTGTCAACATACAAGATCAAATTTTTGCCAATAAATGAAATTAAAACTTCACTCAAAAAAATCTTCAATTTCAAAAATTATTAGAAACTCATTTTATAAAAACATACATAATATAAAATAACATTTATTGAGAAATGCTCAAGTAAAATGACTTTTTTAAATATTAAGGTATACTGTAACACACTTTAATAATACTCAAGGTTAGCAAGTTTCTTCCAACAGTAGGAAAAACCAAACAAAAGAAAAGAAATTAACTTTATTTATTTATTTATTTATTTATTTATTTTACACAAGTGAATACGTTTCCCTTTGTATGCTTGCCTTTTCTTGATAATATATATATATATAAACAAGCATATATATATTTCTGCATTAATTATTATTAAATGTTTTTACTTTTAGTAAAACTCTTCTAAATAATTTCAACACCTCAAAAATTTTGACTTTAAATTCACAAAGTGTTTTAACAGTTCTGCCTCTCTTTTGGTTCAAAATTTATTTAATACTTATTTTGCATATTTTCTTGAATTTTTTCAATGTTTATTCTAGTTTTTTACTTGAGCTTTTTATAATGTTTATTTTTACACTAATTTTTGTTTTAGGGTCATGTTGGAACATATTATATATTGATAATTAATTAAAATTTTAAAATGTTTAAAAAAATTTTTACTTGATTACACTTTTACAGGGTTTTAATTAATAATTTAAATTAATTTTTGGGGTGCTTTCTTTTAGTTATTTCTTTTTAATTATTTTAAAAATCCACAATCATCCAGATGTAATGCAGAAATGTGGCACTGATGAAATTTTTTTGGCTGCTCTCTGAAAAAGACCAAGGAATTTTAAACAAATTTTTATATCACTTTTATTATTTAATTGAATTTCCTTTGTTTCAATTCTGATGTGTGTGCTGCCCCCTTTCTTGATTTATTTTTTGATTTAATTATCATCTTTTGATTATTATGTATGCATGTATTTTTGTGTACTTACTATGAGATCCATTTTCCCATCAGTGAATTTAGATTGATTTTAAAAAATTTCATTTCACATTAATAACACAAATTGGAAAATAACAACTGTGCACAAAGAACAGACATCAAATTTAAATGAGGAAACAAAATTACAAAACTGAATCTGCATCATCATAAATACTATATAACAAAACAGCATATTTTTTCTTATTGCATGCTATAACCTATTTATAATTCTGAATGGATGAATTCAAAAAAAGGAGAAAATTTTTTTCTAATAGGGCTGAACTTCACTTTGAACTAAATTACATACATCACAAGAAATTTCATAAATGGTACATTCTTTTCAATCATATAAAATTTAATGCATTGCAAATGGCATCATGACTTAAAAAATGATATAAGAATTAAGAAAAGACTAAAAAACTTAAGAAATGTAAGACTTAAGAAATGATGTATTCTTAACAGGACTGGCAAAAAAATTTTTATGGTGATAAAAAATATAAAGGAAGAAATTAATTTTTTACTTATTTCATATTAATTAATATTATATTTTTTTTCATATATAACAAACACTATTACATAACTAATGAATTAATATATTTCCATACGATAAGAAAAAGGAAATAAAATATTATATTATCGGGGCAAGTTTAAAACACTGGAAAATTCTTAAAAATTTATATTTCAATATAAAAATTTTTAAAATAAAACAATGTATTCATAAAACTATAAACTGTAATGATCATTTTCTATTCATCAAATACGACTGACAAGCAAAAAAACTGAATAAAATATAACAATAAATGAATCAATTCTACAACACTTTTTACTGGATTTTTGGAAAAAATAACTCTGCTTTTTATTGTAGAAATAATAAAACATTTAATTTCAATTAAGTTGGACTATTATTTCAAATTTATATCCTTTCAGAATATCTTTCAATATTCATGGTGCATTACTCTTCATTTCTTCCAGCTTTTTCCTCTATCTTATAAGTAACCCAAACCTGATTGTACTGAAGATAAATTCCAGGTAATACTGATAATACTTAAAGAACTTCTTCATAATATTGAAAAGAAAATGTAATAATACTGAAGATACTGAGATTTCATAAAAGTAAAAACACTAACACTTTTCAAGATGCTTTAAAAAAGGGGGCTGAAAGAAAAGATTGAAAATGGAAAATTATGTGCTGAAACTTATCACTACAGTGAAGAATGAAAGATTATTTTATCTCCCTTAACAGCATTCACATCTGTTAAGCAATTATTTATGTCAAATAATGCACATGAGTATTTTAATAATAAAATATAACATAATTAAAACATATTATATACCTAATAAGCTCTTCCATGCTAAGACCTCTTGGGCCTCCTTGCTTAACTACAAAATTATCACTATCACACAAGGATTCATATATACAGGCTGAGAGAGAAGTGCTTAAATCTCTCAATACTATTACATGTGCATAAGAGGAACTTGTTACTGTAGGAGGTTCTGTCATGTCAATAATTGTCAGTAAGATGTCATGGACAAGGGACTAAAGAAGAGGAAAAAAACATACGTTAATATTTAAAAATGAAAAATAAGCTTAAAATAATATGTATTAAATTACCGGAAATGTGAAAATACATCTTACTACCTAATTACTTCAAAGAATGAGCATTTTAAGAATAAATTGCTCGTTTTTCATCAAAGGGATGCCTTAGTATCTGAATATTTCAAAATACCACACAAATTTAACATTTCATTCTTCCTATTTCAGGTTTTTATTTATTTATTATATTTTGTTAAATAAAGTTTTTAATTAAGTTCAAATTGTAAATTTGTAGATGAACTTAGAGCAATAAAATAAATAAAGGGAACTAGTTTAACAAACTTTTCATTACTTAAATAAAATTTTTCCACAAAAATACTGCCATCTCAAAAACAGTATGAATAATTGTTAGGTAACTTTAAATTCTTAAAAATTTTTTCTTCCATTTAATTTCCCCATGGGAGAGGGCAAAAACACCTTCCTTTTCACCCCAAAAAAATTGTAAGTGCATGATGACAGTTAATGACTTATGAATAACTAAATTTTCATATTTAGCAAAATCTAATATCCAGCATAATCTAGAAACAAGGCAGAATAAAAAATATAGGAATATGTTAAAATATCTTCATTAGGATTATTATTCTCTACAGACACTTAATAATATTAAATACAATGTCAAATATGAGTAATTAAATTTAAAAAATATTGCAACAAAAAGAAAATGAAAAATTTAATAATAAGTTTTACAGTTTGCAAATAAAGTTAACTTTTTGATAGAAAAATGAATACAATACTGATTTACAATAAGATGAAAAAAGATTAGTATTATAGTTTCAAAGATAAAAATGACTGGCTCTTCAAAGGAATATAATTATAAAAATGAGGCAGAAAAAACAAATATATTTATAAACAAAATGCAATTCAAATATAAAAAATATATTAATTTTCCACTTGCAAGATAAATAAAAACAATTTATATGTTATATTACACTTACATATATTGCTTTTTTTTAATATTATTCAAAATTAATTTCTATATTATATAAATTTTCTGCAAATGAATTTTTCTAAATTTCAATCATAAGCAGGATTTACAAACAAACTTGAGTATTGTCAGAAAAGAAAATAACCAATATTGAGAAATAATACATCATAAACTGGCAAAATTCAGCATTAAATTATATCCAACTTTTAAATAATAATAATAATAATAATAATAATAAGGCTCAGTGAATATTATGAAAAAAAACTGGCATAAACCCTTTTTCTCAGAAGTAAATTATTTTGCACATGTGCTCTATTTCAGTATCATAACAGTAAAAGATACAATGATGAGGAACTTTATTAGGACAGTCAAATACCGAAAATCTGCCAACTCCTGAAATCCGCATTGCCTCTCAAAATATAAACATTCAGTTTATAGGTTCCGGAAACCACAACATTGAGTACAAAATATCGAAGAAAAAATACTTACCGAATAATGACATCATAATTACTGAATAATAATGAGTCATTATGGAAATACCATATTATTGACATCATGATAAAAGTTTTTTCCCCTCTAATCTGCATCGAGGTAAGAAAGCAGACAATTCACTCAACTCTTCTTTCAAGTTCACGATTCACGTTGTATTTTCTGAGCTTTGTTATTTCCCGAGATTATTTAGTGCTGCCTTTTTTTTATCCAGATATTTTGTGGATAAATTAAGAATATTTTAAATTTCAGCCCTTCTTAATACAATTACAGATAAGAAACGCACTCATGATTTTACTGCTTGCAATGTTGAAAAACATAAACACGTTGCATTGATCGTAATGCAAAAAAGTGCAAATTCTGCAAAAAATAGAGGCAGGTGCATTTCATAGCAGAATCGGTTTATAGCAAAATCGTATGGAATTGAGATACGATTGTGTATGAAAAATAAAGAAAAGCTGTTGAAATTTTACAGCAACAGTGTTTCTAACACCGGAATCCAAAACTGGAAATCTTTGCATGAGGTGAGATCGGCAAACCTCAATGCTGTGTATATATAATACAATGAATAACATAATCAATTTATATATGTAACAATAATTTAATGCATATAATAAGTTACTGCTATAATGTATAAAATAATTTAATTAAATGTATCTAATACGCCTTATTTATTTTGCACCATTATATATTATGATTTATCTTTTCTGTCCTGAAATCCGCAAAATCCTAAAATCTGCACAACCTTTGGTCCCAAGCTTTGCAGATTTCTGGACTTCTACTGTATCACCTTTTCCCATAAATTATTTATCAAGTTACTTGGATTTCCCATAAGATAAATTTAACAGCTATTTGCTTCTGTATTAATAAAAGTTATCTTTCAAGATTTTCAGGAAATGATCCGAATTTTTGAGAAAGTTATAACATCTTTTTTTTGTTAAAGTGATTTAACATAGCAGATATGACATATTTCAAATTACTGAACATAAGTTTTACTATGAGAGAAGAAACAATTAGATTTTCTTAAATCATTAATAGATTTTTAACTCCTCTTTCATACCCTCTCCTGTCAAATTTATCCAAAATATAATTTCATTTGAAAAATTTCTTTATCAAGTATTTCAGATTTTCTTGAAATCTTTGAAAAATTCCAAAAAAATTGAAAATTTGGTAAATGATTTTAAATAACTAAAAGTATTCCAAATATATTTTTATTCTAAAATTTCTTCGTAAGTTAAACTTTCTTAAAGTTTTTGCACGATTATTAAAATCCGATAAATGATTAGATACTTTCCTAGAATATTTCCATACACTTTATTTTACAACAGTCAGCTTATTTTCCCCTTTCAATCTGGTACTGCATTTTAATTGTATTAAAGATGAAGGAACTGAAGCACTTGCATTGAATAATTCGCTCCCACAGAAGACACAAAAGATAAGTTTGTCATGCGAATATACACTGAGTGATTTAATTTAAAATCAACATTAAATCAAGAAAGCTTTTGGGCTAGGTTTTAAAGTTCAAATCAGTATGTGGTTATGATGAAAATTTAGAACTAGTAATTCTATCTTCATGTAACTTTCAAAATTAATAAGAAAACTAAAATGTACAAAATAACATCATAATAAAACAAAAGAATACAAATGCATTTACCATATGATACACTGGGGAAAAACTATTTTGATTTTTATTCTTATTTATAAACTGCAAACTTGTATTTATAAACTAATTTTAAACCAATGATAAACCAATCTATCATTCCAACAGTTATAGTTTTCCTACATGTATCATTCATCAGTTTTGTTCCAAACGAACTTCTATTTAAATAATGTTACTTATCCCCAAATCCATCATTCCCCGAAACATAGTTATACTGCACTAAATTCATAAATAAGGTTTTCAACATAGTATTTCTCATATGGATCATTTGGGGGAAAAATCTGAAATGAAATATGTGTTGAGTTAATCCAATTAATATACTTGTTTGTGACTGATATTTTTAACAGGAAATTACCTTATAATTTTATGGCATATATTTAAAAAAATTAATTAAAATAATAAAACAAAGCAAAGTGTTAAAGTGACCTTTTTAAATCACTTTAACACTTTCTTAAACACTCAATTACTCAAATACAGTAAGATTGTCTTTATCATTGCACTTGCAAATATATATATATAACACACACAGTCTGATTAATATAACTTCTGATTGGCAAAGTATTCTAGCAAGCAAACTGAGTAATATTAAAAAGATACAATAAGAATAACTTCAAAATGCACCTGTAAATGACGTATAGGATCGGCAACAACAGTTTTCTGTCCAGCAACGCTTGCAGCCAACAAAGGCAAGGTTGTTGGGAAAGGCAGAGGTGAAAGAAGTTGCTGCCTGGAGCGTTCCTGCTGTAGCTCATGCAGCAAAAGAATTAATTCCATCCGTACAGCAGACAGACCTCCACCATGGGCACCATGAAGACTACAATAACTTAAGAGTGTTCTTAAAAGAGCTTCATTGGCTTTTAGCCAATGCTTACGCCTGCTAGCCCGCTGAAGCTTTGCTTCAAAATCCATTTTATCTGCTAATAATATTTCATGAAGAGAAGGCCTCTGATTTTGAAAATCCACGGCACTATCACAATGAGCACTGCTAGGTGGACTTCCCTCCACTGCCATAGATTCTGGAGCTAAAAATATAGAAGATATTAAAATTAATCTCCCACTGTATTATATATAATCTAACCAGTCTAAATTTTCCAGTCACTTCCCCCCCCAATGAACTGCTACAAAAGTTAATTTTTGCCCCTTACTCACTTCTAAAACAGAAGTTCTTAAAAATTCATAAAGTCTAATACTTTTCAGAAAATTTGGAAAATAAATTACATAAAAAGACCAAATAGATTACAATAAAAAAACACAGGCTACATATTATAAAAAAATATCAATCATGCATAACGCATAAATTATGCTTAAAACTTTAACCACAATTAATAAGAATGCAGAAAAAAACAATTGAGAATCAAAACTTGAGAAAAGGATAAATCATAATTTTATTTGAGGTGGTGGGATAAAAGAAAATACTGCATTTCTTCTTATTTTGGGAATTCTAATTTAAAAAAGATTTTAGACAGCCTTCGTAATGCCATTTAAAAGCATTACATAATACCTCAAAAATTTTTCATCAAGAATCACAGTCTCTTCTTTCTTTACCTCTCTATCAGCATACTGCATAATGAAACCTCAGTAAGAGCTCAAGCTCCAGATATCTATGAAGATTGTCCCCTTAGCAAAAATGGGCCTTGCTAGTGACTTTTAATATCACTACTTATAGTTTCATAAGTACTAGTCACATTCAGATATAGTTGCCTTAAGAAGATAATCATCATTGAGAGGTTCTAATGCAGTACACAGGATTTCATTTTTTCTCTTTATATAAACATTAATGATACATGTTTTATTAAATCATTATCAACACAGAATTTAATGGAGTCTTCTCTTCTGTGGGAAAGATATTCTTATATGAAACACTATATAATAATCATTATGATACATGAACATCACCTGACTGACTAGCATCCTGAGAATTTGTACAGCCATAATGGCACAGATCTTTAAGTGCTGCGACACTTTTTTCAAGCCATATGTACAACTGGTATCGTAGCTGACCACCATCAACTTCATATCCAGTAGCCAAAGTACTCAGTTCTTCCATCATTATCTACAACAATATGTTTAAAATGCATATTTTAAAAAAAAATTGAAATTAAAAATTAAATTAAATAATATCAGAATCTTTCCTACCTTTAAGCATGCAATAAATTTCAGCTGCTGGGCCATTATATCGATAGCAACAGATTTCAACTCATTTGTTTTCTTAACGTCTAAAATAAATGCATACAAATATGACCATTAAAAATCATGTATTTTGCTACTGAAAACAAAACAACTCTTACCTATGGGAATTAGCACATTTTAAACAATATTGGTTAGTCTGATCACATATTTACTACTCACCATCAACAGCAGTTTAGCTGATTTTCTATTCACAACATATTACTTAACATTTAAAAAATGAAATATTTAACTAAATTTCAGTATAGAATTGTACAAAAATATAAAGTATGGCATTTATTTGACTTCCACTTAGCTTGTGACAGTTATAATGTGAGCAACAGTGGTATCTATTGGGGTGTTGCACATAAAATGTCGGGCCTGTTAATGAAGTTTTGAATTATAGTGACCCTTAGAACTATTATCATTCAAAATAGGCACTATTAAGTAATACACTTTTCATACTATGATACACATTCATGTCAGTTCAATTTCAAAGAAATTTGGCATTCTTTAATTCCTTGGAAGCATTTTTGATAGTTTTATCAATGCTGAACCATTTCCTCCATAAAAATGATCCATACATTAAAAGAGTAAGTGGTAGCTGGCTGACTAGCTGGCTTAATGACAATATATATCAGACAACATTCCAGAAGGCAAGATGTGTGCATTCTAAGCTTGATACATGTGGTAACACATTTTCATGCAGCAGCATAACTCCATCTCCATTGATTATCCTAGGTTTCTTAAATGCACAACTTCTGATGCATTTCATAAAGATGAGTGCAGTACAGGTTTCAACACATTTACGAAGGAATAGTGCATACTACTTGCTACACACCACCAAACAGTTGTCACCATTTTCTTGAGGTAAAGAATCAGTTTTGGCATGTGTTTTGGGACCATAACAGCATCTAGCTGGTGTGCAGATCAGTAATGATTACAAAATAAATTTCATTTTTCATCATATACCTTTATTATTTTCAAAAACATTTAGCAGGACAGCAGAGAACAGTAAACAACCCAATCATGCATGTTGTTTTTGGTGAATTAACTGGAAACTTGCTTATCAAGCTTATTGACTTTTTTGACAGCTTGCAAAAGATAGGAAGTTGTTAGAGAGTGAACGCCTAATTTTTCTGCAACATTATTTACGGTTTGATGTCATACTTCAGTACAGTCTACAGTTTGTCACTGTCAGTGGATGTTGCTGAATATCCACATCGCCCACTTTCAAGAGTAATATCCCTTGATCAAAATTTTTCCAACCAATACAGCATTATTATTTATTACATTATTTCTAGCTATTTGACATTCATAGCTGCCTCCACTGCACTTTGGCCATATTTAAACTTGTAAACTTATAAATTTGTAGTTTCCTTCCACGTTCCACTGATCACATTGCAGTTTAAAACTCAAATGATTCTATAATCATAAACAAGGATAGTTAAACCTAACTGTCGAATATTCAGGTACCACCTGGTGCTGCTTTCCAATATCAAAATAATTTCATCCCAAAATCCAACATTTTATGCATAAAACAATAATATTTGTTTATATAACAGCAATCATTAACTGACAAAATAAAAATGGAAAATTTAATTATGTCCATTGGAGACCATGTCAATGAAAATATTAAATAGTGTTATGCGTAACCTACATAAAATTAAGCTATAAAAATTAGATATACCTTCTTTTGGTGCCTCTGGAGTTTTTATTTTAATACCATCCTCAGATGTTTCACTTCCACTATCGTTGAGATTCAAATCCAAGTCTAATTCTATTTCATTTGGTTGAGACACAGGTGCACCCCAATCAAAATCAGATGAAGATTGCACAGTAGCAGTAACACGCTGACTCCAGTCAAAATCAGAAGCACTTTCACTGGTATTAGCTGCAACTGGTTGACTCCAGTCTATAGAATTTGCTTTTTTGGTTGCTGTATTTGTTAAGGATGTTGCAGCATCTCCTAAAGTACCAGTAGCAATACTATCATCTTTATTATTCAAGACATTGGCAAAATCAAAAACTGCATCATCAGGTGACATTGGGCCATCTGTTAATACTTTATTTGGTAAGCGGGACAAGACTTCCAGAGCTAATGCAGGACATCCAGCTCGGAAATGAGCATGGGCGGTGGTAAAAAATAACCTTCTTTCCAGTGGTGTGATTGTATCTTCATAGGTTAACTAAAAAATTAAGTACTGTATCTATTAATAATTTTAAATGAAAAAACACAGAACATTATTCACAAAAAGAGTAATGATACATAAAAAAATGATACATAAAAAATGATACCAATGAAAATTGTTAGCATTTTTAGTTAAGTCCTTAACAGAAAACATAAGCTATAAGAATTAAAATTATTTGAATTGATCATTGAATTTGATTGATTTGATTAATCATTTGAATTAAGAAATATTTTTAAGAATATCTTCTCCTTTATTGCAGGTAATATTTGCATAAGACAATCATAAGTTTCTAAACAATGTTCTATTATATGTATTTGTGTCTTATGAAGCAAAAACGGCTCGAAAACTATGAAACTGAGCTATTTTCCTCTTGTAAGTATCAGAAATATATATCAAATATAAGAAAAGGATCAATAATTGATCAAAAGTATAATACATTATCATTTAATAATGAAATAATTGTTTAGTCTCTTTTTTTTTTAACCCACAGGGCTATTAATTTCGAAACAGCATTTTGTGTCAATTCACCTTTAAAACTGTTGCCACCAAATATCATCGCCATGTCTTATATTTAACAAAACTAAATAATGAAGAATCTGCATGAATGTTTCTCGCAATGTAAAGAAACAACGGTACCTAGAGCCATCTAATTTTGAATAATGTAGTTCTCCAACCAAACATGGGCACACGGAAGCCCAAATTTTTAATTTGTTTTATTATGTATTTAAAACTTTGTAACTCATCTTTGAGTCACAAACCCAACGATTTCAAAGCGAGCAATAGCAACACTGTATGGGAAAAAAAAAAAAAAATTCATCTTCAGTGTGGAAGACTGTATATCGAAAATTTAAAGATATGCTCTTTTCAAATTAATTTGTAATATTGCCGTTGAATTAAATTTTATGGTTTAAGTGCAAAGAACATGATATTTAATAAATAAAGGAAATGCACAAAACGTTAAAAAATGCTCCTTTGAGCATGATATAAAATCTGAATGCTTCCCCCCTTTTTTTTCCCTTGAATATCCGAATTCGGGTGTAATATAAAATCTGAAAGCTTTCATATTTAAAAAAAATTTCCCCCACCATTAGCACTAAGCTCTTTTAAAAAAGAGTGCATCCCTCTTCTGCCAAAATATCTCAACATTCGAATTTTCTTCCAAAAAATCTTAATTTCTATTTACAGTCAAAAGTCATTAATCCGGACTCGTCGGGACTTCCGCAATTCCGGAGTATCGATTTTTCTGGATTATATATCATCAATTTAAATCTGATAAGATGGCATGCAGAAATTATAAAATTAAAAATATGAAACCGTAATTTATGAAATAAAGAACATTATGATCTAAAGGGTATCAAAATTTACAAAAAAAAAAAGCTTAATATTTATTTGTTTACTTTATTAAACATTTCTTTCAATGTAAGTTGTTTAAGTTGCTTCGTTTTTTATGTGATAATACATTCTCTTTAATTCTATAAAACGACATAATTTCTTGTTCAGTTACAAAGTTCCGCTGTTTAAGTCCTATAATTGCTGTGTCGAGAATACCGCCTAATTTGTCAATCGAAATATTTTCGTTTTCAATAACCTCTGTCACTTTCTTCGCTTTCGGAAGCGAATTATAATGACGAGGAATTTGATTTAAATCATATCAAAGACTTAGTACATCGGGATGAAATAATACATTTAGTAAGGAATTATAAGCCAAATAAAATAAAAACATGTGCCCTGAAGATAAGGATAGTGCTGACAGATCAACTTCCAGTTCATTGCGTGCCGCAGAGTCAAAGATAAACAAAGGATATGCCTTTATCCATTTTTTGCAGCAATTCCACTTTTTGTTTAATGAACTTATACTTTCGCTTTCTAGATCCTTTACATATTAGTAAATATATATCAGAAATTCTATTTGACATAATCGAAAGTTCAAGCTTACTTTTATAAAATTGCTCTAACAGTCTGCAAAAAATAATAAGCCAAATGCAATTCGAAGATTAAGAAACAACGCAATCTGCAACATTAACTGAATTAGATAATTTTAGCTTAGCTTATACCGTCTGTTATACATTAAACGCGCATTCGTAAACGTATTCTGCGCACGCTCACACGCATATTCGCAGCCGTAAAGGTCTTACGCGCATGCGTCAACTCGAGGCATGCGCAGAAAGTTTGTAGCTTTGAGGTCCGGATTATGGGTGTCCGAATTAACGATTTTTGACTGTACTTTTTACCTAATTTTTTTTCGTATTTTTTAAAATAGAACTTTGTAAACAGCACAGAACAATGCTAAGCATTCGTAAAATTAGCCTTAATTTATTTAGATACAATAATTATCTGCATAAAATTTACATAATGTTTTTACCATTTCACTACCATACAATATCCAATTGCATACTCAGTAAATGTGGCTCTACAATAATTCTACATTTCAAAATGATCATTTAATAACTTTACGAGTCAATACCACCACATGAGCATATTGAAAGAAAATGTCTGTTGTTTTCTAATATGTTCGTTTTTGCGACAGCTAAAGCACGATCTAGAAAGATAGTATCTCATTAAAGACATCCGTGAAGGGTGCTGTAATTGAGTATTTTCAACAAATAGGCTCAACTCGGTAGTCTTGAACACAAAGAATTCTGTGATAGCCTTTTTGAGGTCTGGCCGGTTGTTGAAGGATTTCCCACGAAGATGGTTGTCCAGGGAATGGAAAAGGTGGTAGTCTGTTAGCACAAGGTCTCGAGGGGGTATGGTGGATGGGGTAGTATCTACCAGCCCAGTTGCTTAATGGTGTCCCTGGCCTCCTAAACCATATGCGGCCTCGCATTGTCATGGAGAAGGAGTACACCCTTACGATTGACCAATGCTGCCTCTTTATGCATCAGTCCCTGATGCGCACATTCCAACTGCTGTGAGTACAAGCCTGCCATGATGGCAGGAGCTCATGGTGCACCAGTTAGCAAGTAGTCCACCAGATACAGAGCACGATCTTGGGTGGATGGAAAGAAGGTCTCGTAGAGTGTGGCACAGGGTCCCGTGGTGACAGCCAATGTCTGGAATACCTGGGTGTGTCATACTGGACCCACTTTTCATTGCTGGTGAGTACTCAATCAAATATGGATACATTGTGGTGCCAAGTAAGCAATGACAAATAGGCAGCGACATGCTGTTCCTTGTTTGTATTGGACAGCAAGTAGGTTACCCACTTGCTCAGCTTGTCTTTCCTATGCGGTGCAAATGGAAGCTAATTGTTTTGTCAGATACTTGGAAGTGTGGAGTAACCTCACCACATGTTTGGCTACTGTCAATCTCTATGGCTGCACAGGGCCTACGATGAGGCCCTGTGCAGCCATAGAGATTGACAGTAGCCAAACCACTGCGTTGTGGCCAACCACTGTGTGGGGCATCATTAAGAGACATATCCTTGACCTGAACTTCTCGAACCATTGCCTAGCAGTTCGTTCATTAATGACATCATCTCCAAAAGCCTGGCAAATTCGGTGACTTGATTCTGCTGCTGATAGGCCCACTTTAAAATCATACAGCAAACAACTTCGAACGAGCACCTTTGACACATCCATTTCAATTGGTCGCTGTGTGAGTTATGTTTGAAGTACCAATGCAATGCACTTTTATACTCTTGGTCAATGTCCGGACTCCCATCCTAACCACTTGAACAGGTTTGGCGACTAATTTTATGTTGGGGTTCATTCTTCCAATTTCATATCAGAAATGGCAAGAACTTTTTTGGTTACCTTCTATGTTATCAAATCTGCTCATGTGTGGATATATCTAATCAACTCATAGGCATATGATGTAATATAAAAGATCATGATAAGGAATACAAAAATATTTCAAAGAGGTGAATACTAGAAATAAGGAAATAATTATTATGCTAATTGTTTAAAAAAAAAGAAAAAAAGAAAGAAAAACCTTTAGTACCTCATCAGGATCAAAATTTTCGTTTTGAGTCTCCTGTTTTCCTATTGCTTTGGATTTTCTCATTTCTGACAGATTTTGAGCTCTCTGTCTGCGCACAACCAAAGGATGTGTACGTAAAAACAAGTAGAAATTAAATACACTTGGATTTGCTGAAAAACAAATGTACTATTTTGAATTATTTACCTTAAACAATAATTTTAGAATCATTATAATATTACTTCTTACTGCATGACTGAAATGGAGCAGTTTCTCTCGAAGAAGATACAGAGAATTATTCATAAGCACCTCCTCTGAGAAGTTACTCCATTTCTATATGCAGTCTAACAGATAAAATACATATCAGTGAACCTCCATTTGTGTAGCAATGCACATGTTCAAAATTCATACAGGGAATAACAACTTATGGTAGGAGACCACTTTTACTTGCTGCTCAATAATAACCTATGCTATCTCAATGCATCATTTCTGCACGCATTCCATTACAAAATCTGCTTATTTGAGTCCCTTTTACATTTCTGCCAGATATTTTTTAACCATCCTGCAAAAATATATTTCATTTAAAATAATAAAAAATAATTATATAAATAAATAATTTTTTTAAAATTAATTCTTTGATAGATCTTAGTGATGTGTAATAAACAAGAATTAATAATATGAAAATTACTTATCAACAGCCTTCCTAAAGACTTAAATGTGCCATAAATACATTATGAAAATCCAAGCATACTTCTATTTTATTTATTTTATGATTTAAATAAATACATTCTTTTCTCTTTTCATCTATACTTAACACATCTTCATCATTTGATCATGCAATCACAATAAAGCAACAAACTGTCACTTAGTGTAAAAAGAACTGAGCAGCAGTATACAACCTTATTTTCAAAAATTCAGTCATATTCTACAACACCAAAGTTTACACTTTTCATCATTAAATATTTAAACACGCAAATACTGAAACCAAACGTTTTCTATATTAGACTAAAATTACAATAATAATGGACTGGTTTAATTATCTTTAAAAACATTTATTATTTCTATCTATGTAGTAAGAAATATTCTGGGCATGTTGTTCTTTCCAATTATAATTGCTAAGTGTTTTCTACTCTATAACACACTGGTCTCAAACTGACATACGGCCCCCAGAAGCAATTTTACAGGTCCCATGTATGCACTTCCCATAAATTAATTATCATTATTATGACATTAATTATTACAACAATAATTTGAATCAATTTAAAATTTTAATGATTTGGAGTCTAAATTTAAATTGTTTTCATTACTTTTAAAAACAAACATGAATAAAACTAAAATCTAAACTAAACTAGAAAATCTACAAATGGAGTAAATTAACATACACTGCAATAAAACCTTATTCAAAGATTTGAAAATGCAGACTTGATTACATTTTTTATACTTGTAAAAAGAAGTGTTGAATTTTTGTAATTAGAATATTTGTTTGGGAGTACATTTATTTCTGAAGAGTTTTTTCTGTAATTCTACATTAAAAAGTCTAGAAAAGAACCAGAATTACTGAAAAGCATCTACAGTTTATTATGAAGATAGTTTCTAGTAATCTTTCTAATTAATGTTTGTTACAAACTTCATCAAAATCAAAATGCCTTGAGATGCTGTAGGTGATAGTTGTAGTAAGAAGTAAAGAAGTTTATTATCATTTACATACAAATATATATATATATATATATATATATATATATATATTATATATATATATTGTATGCATCAAAGAAGCATTTATTAAATAAGCGAATGAAAATAGGTTGCCATTACTTATTCTCAAGTTTTGTTTCACTCAAATTTCATAATCTGTTTAGTTTTATTCAAGTAAATTGTTTAGTAGTCAATTCAATGTATTAGAATTATTATGTCAGTCTGGAAAATTTACATTTAACTGTCAGCATGTTTGAATGAATTACAAAATGTAACCAAAAGAAATTTCTAGCAGATACCAATCTTTAGATTTCAGGCAAAAAATAAACATATATTGGAATTTTTTTCTTTGCATCCTTACTGTTATTGTTTATGTGTGTTTTAATAAATATTTAGTAAGTAAAATTTTAGATTTAGTTTAAAATATTTTGCTTTATAAAAAAACCTTTTCAATGAGTAAAATTAATTTAAAATTTAGTTTTAAAATATCTTGCTTTGTTAAAAAAAACCTTTTCATTTTGTCAAAATAATTTCAGCCCATCAACTGCTTTCAAACTGTACATAAAGCTTGCACACAGTTTGAGTTTGAGACCACTTCTGCAACAAATGGCTTGTACATGGCAGCATTCTTTCTTAAACTATGGCAATGGATAAATACAACATAATTCAAGAATAGAAATGGATAAATACAACATAATTCAAGGATTAATTATGGCAATGGATAAATACAACATAATTCAAGGATCTGTTAGGATAAATTCAACATAATAACAAGGATTCAGACATCAATTAAAAACATCTAAATAGAGTTTAATTTCCTATCATTTTACAACTGCAAAATAATCCTGCAGTTTAACGAATCAGGATATCAAACCCTCTGACTGGCATGGCTTTTTGGACCTGCTTTTTGGACCATTAAGAACTGTACTTAAAGAGCTTCTATTAGTCAAATTTCGATAATTACTTAGTCTCTGTTATCATAAACTCCTACTGATTGAGTTGATATTCACAACATTAAGGGCAGTAAGAAAATAAAGAATTTATATTACAAGCTAATACCTGCCAAGTAACAAAAAATCTGATGACAAGACAAAGGCAGTCATGCCACTCAGACAGCTAAAGTTCCATTTGAACAGTGAAATGCTAGTCTTGCTTTAAACTCTTCAAAGAAAACAAAGAAACAATTTTTTACCTGACATACGATCATGGGCATTTTCAATTTCGGCAGCTTTAGGATGAGAATACCCAACATCTGTTTGCAAAAGAGTGGTTAAAGAACCACAGTAATCTTGAAGTATCCAACGAGCCATACAACGAATGAATGGGTCTGGATAAGCTTTAGAAGGAACATAGTTTGATCCATCTTCTTCACATCCTAAAACTTCCAAAAATAACAGTCTCCGAAGTGAAGGTGTAACTGTTTCCATTTCTCCTTCATATAATCGAATCACAACCATTGCTAGTTGCAAATCATTCAAATGATTCAAGATTATCTGAAAAAGAAAGGACCAGCATTTTAGCTACATTCATTACAGAAAAACTATAATTATATTTAAAAATTTACACAGGATCTGTTAGAATGAATAGTGGGATTTAATGTCTCCGTGAAGTATGTTTTATGTGAAACAGATTAAAAATATTTTTTATTTAATGAATTTACTTAAAATATTTTAAAATAAATAAATGTCAGTATATGTGTTAAGATCATAACAAATATCATAGCAGTATTCATTTTTGGTTCATATTCTGATAGGGACATTTGATGCAACAATTGCAGCTTCTTGTATGACTCTCTCCCAGAGGTGATCAAAGTTATCATCAATAGTAGATTCCATTTTTGACAAAGCCCCAGAGGGAAAAGTCTAATGGGATAAGATTAGAATTCTTGTAAGCTATGAAGATAGGTCCATGTCTGCTTCTCTGCTATCCTGGAAATCGATGACACAACTTGTCTCACTCGATTTCCCAAAGTGGGGTGCTCCCACTTGTTGAAAGATCTTCAGCTCGGCATCTTTCACTTCTGTTTCTGAATTTGATGGAACAAAACAATTTCCAAGTATACTCGGAAATAATATTAGTTTCAAGAAAGTAAAAATGGTCAAGATCACAGTGAACCATTAAACCAAAATTTACAATAACGATATGAGAACATCAAATTTATTCATAACTCACATGCAGTTTTTTCAAATTCTGCAACTATACTGATTAACACAAATGTTCACATGGAATGTGGTCATATCCCTCATTGAATCCATATTCATATGCAGATAATTTTTTTGAGCCAACAAAATTAAATAAAAGTGTTTTCAGTCAATTTCATACAATTAACACTTTTTAGAAACCTCATGAAATATCACCATTCATTCTCTAAAATACTGTATAATTAAGTGTACAAAATGTAATTAATTTTAAAATTTCTTCCTTAAGGTAACTACAGTCCTTTGTCTAACAGATGACTTGATGAATAATTTAGGAAATGTACAGAAAAATGTGAAATATTTTTTGCTCTTTTAGCTTCTGAATAAATGGTTAGAATGTTTTAAGACTAAAAGGCACACTGAAAATTATGATTCTTTTTTTAATTATTATTTTAATGAGATGTGTAAATAAGTAGTTTTATAAAATATTTTCCTAACAGCCCATGCTTCATAAAACATAGTTTAGTAACTTCTAAATCTATTGTAATAAAATGCATAATTTATTTTTCCTACATGATGTTTGGGGGAGGAAGAATGAGGAGAGAGAGAATAATTACTTCCACAGCTACTTTCAAATCACCCCCTAAGAGAAAGAAAGCAGCTGCATGTTCAAATCTTTGTTTGCCCATGAGAACATATGCATTTTTCTGGGCAGATTTCTTCCACTTATCTTGGGTAAAATTATTCTGAAAGAATGCTGTCATTTTTGAATCTTGCACAGACCTATATAAAAAAAAAAAGTCATGTTACTAAAAACACACATAAAATTATACTTCATATATTATTTAAAAGCTATTGCTAAGTATTATACATTTTGCATAAAATAAATAAGATATATTACTTTATACTTGGGTAACTTCTTATAAATTTTCAATCATATCAAAAGCTACAATATTGCTTATATTAAAAATAAAAATTAAAAAAAAAGAGAGAGAGAGCAAAAGGAAGAAAGAAAATAAAAGAAAATCTGGCTTGATTTCAGGAAATATGCATTTTCCCTCCTTTAATGAAGTACATAAATTAAAATATTAACATAATGTTCTAATTTTACATACATGTAACATTAGTACCTGAACAGACCCCAAAGAAGTGTTTTCTTTTTCATAGCCAAATAGTAAAGGGCAGCATCCATTGGATCACTCTTCACTTGAAATGCAGCTTTTGCAACCTATTTTTTTTTTTTTTTTTAATAAAACCAAGAAGAATATATAACAATTTGCAATAAACATAACTCATAAACTTGTACATGCAGACTAATCACAGACCTCGTACATTTACGTATACATGTATTTAAAAATGCATGTATATGTAAATAGGGAATACGTAATTAAGGGGAAAATTTGCGCGCACACACGCACGGAGGAAAAAACGCTTATAGTGAACAAAATTAACTCCTTAACTGCCACAGGCGTATATATACGTCTTACTCAGCCGATGTGTTAATTGCCCCGGGCGTATATATATGCCCGTGGCAATTAATAGTATTTTGGAATATATACGCCCTTCCAAAATACTATCATTTGCTTTGCACTGCAACCCATAAAATTATTCGCCAAGCTTTGGAATGCAACACCACAATGACCTTGACAAAGTATGCGAAGGAGGATACTATTTCAGAAAAGTGTGGGGAGAAATTGGAAAGAGGGGTGTGTCTAAAGTGGTGAAAGTAATGACTGTGTGGTATTGGCTGGTGTTATTTGAGTAAAACACATTTTTTTTATTCTGTGTAATCTGTTTTTGTTTACTTTTTGTAGTAGGTTCCAGGAATAAAGAAAGATATAATGGATATTTAAACCCATTTATCTTTTTTGATTTATTTTTTATGAACTGCTCGTGCTTCATATTGTTACTGAAACTAACCGTTTTGTAGACAAGTATATGAACCAACATCTTGCTAACAAAAAATCAAGAACAAAATCGTGGCATTCAACCAGTTCAGAAGAAATATATGTTTTTTTAGGCATACTGATTTCACAAGGTATAACACTGAAACCTGATATTACACTTTACTGGTTTAAAAATGAATTGATCGAAACTCCATTTTAGGAATCTGTTTTATTACAAAAACATCATTTTTATTATACTTACATTTTTATTATACTTTTACTCAAAACATAAAATTTTGTGCATTAATTTTTTCTTTTATTCTTTATTTTGTGAAAGTAACAGTTTTTAGAAAGTAATACTTGCACTTATTTTCCCTCTAATACATCGCATAACTACGCGCCCCTGTGTGAAAAACCATGGCACTGGGAAATGAATCTTGTACGTTTTCCGCGGCAGTTAAGGAGTTAATAGTCCTTCTGGGCAAATTGCCCCTTTGGGGGAAAAAATCCATACATTTATACAGATTTTTCATTATTTAATTTTTTTAAATATAATGCAGGACTCTAACATTTGGTGGTAACAGTTTGAAAAGTGAAACGGACATTTATAGTGAATCAACAAAAACAATAGTCCTTCAGGGAGAAAGCCCATTTTAACTTTAAAAAAATAAAATAAAATAAAGCATTATTCATTTGTTTACTTCATTAAACATTTCTTTCAATGCAAGCTAACTAAGTTGTTTTTTGGGCTAACACCTTCTCTTTAATTCAATAGATAGATATAATTTCTTTTTCAGTTACAAAGTTCTATTGTTCAAGTCCTGTAATTGGCATGTCAAAAATTCCCAATAAACTGTTAATCAAAACTGCTTTGTTCTCAGCAACCTCTCCATCCCCTTTCTTCACTACTGGTAGTGCTATTATTTGGATTTAAAACTATACTACAGATTTTGCTATCCGTTAGTTGATTGATGACAGAGGCATCATTATCGCAATGGAAAATCTTCTGTTGTACAAACTTTTTTTTATTACCACTTTTCCACAAATTCTAATCATTGGAAAATTGTGTGATATTGAAAATTTTTTATTTGTGATATTTGAAAAAAATTCAAATTTGCAGCTATTATTCATTACACAGCTAGTGTTCGTTAAGCACTACTGGCAATGTATGAGACTAGCAACAAAAGACGTGTTATTTTATATGCTACAAAAGAACAAATATGCTATATTAAGTCTTGCTTCTATTGCACACAGCCAAATTTAATGATTCACCAGGTTGGCATCAGGAATATAAATTATATTCACTAAGTGTAAAATCAACACTATTTCAAAGTATAATATTTCAGTTTGAGATGTATCCCAAGTAAAAAGGTGGCTACAAAGCCAAACTTTTTATCATATAGATTCATGCTAATAACTGGTTGTTTCTTCAATACGGAAGGCATTTTATTTAGTGTCAAAGTGAAATTAAAAATCTGGATTCCACACGTTTTATTATGCAAAAATATCAAATGTGCACGCATAAAGCATAAAAATAAATAACTAAATAAATAAATAAAAAAAATGCTAGTGGTCTGAATTTTACATTCTGGATAATGGACTGCCAGATATCGGAACTTGTGCTGCATAACAGTAATGGAATTACATTACCAGAGATTCTTTTATCTTTACGATTTACAATGAAACTATTTATCAATTTCTTTCTCAAGTTAAATGAAAAACAGTTACATATTTTGAGCAAAAATTAATTGAGCTAAGAAATAAAATATTTACGCCATTGAGATTTCGGTAGAATTTTCAAGACTTTTGAACATCAGTGCATAGTGTAAAACTACCAAAATATGAAACACAGTTTAAGCATTAAAATATATGTATTAAACAATCTACTATCCAGTTAATAACTGAGTATTCGCTGCAAATGTATGAAATAAGCCGTCGCTATAGTGAAAATGTATTTTACCACTAACTAACCCTTTAGTTCCCATCCAAAAATCATCCATTTTTTTTAACTATGTATTAATTTTTAAAACTGTCCTGATCTTAATTACAATGTAGACAGTAATTCTGCAGATGTTATTTTTTACATGTTCAAGACTTGAATTGACTTGGCTGCCTTACAGAGACTAATCACAGAAAAGCTGAAGTCCAGCACAGAAAAAACATGCGACTGTTAAGATGCGCATTCATCGTACATAAAAAATCTTATGCGCACACCCCATGACTTCCTTGCACGGAATATTAACCTTTAACTTCCCAATTTTTTAAATTTCTATGAAAAAATTATATCAGCTACTTCTTAAATAATAATAAAAGGAAAAAATATTTTTTTAAAAAATTAAGCAGTTTTAAATTGAAAATCAATTTTTTTTTTTTTTTTTTTTTTTTTTTTTTTTTTTTTTTGTCTGTTGCAGAAGTGCAACATTGCGCAGTAGTGGTGTAAAATTACAAAACTTTTTTTGTATGAGGATTTTATTATTCATTGTTATAAATTGCTTTAGCCTTACATACAATGAAAATTTTTAAAGCAGTTATTGACTTTGTTGTAAAAAACGTCCCCTACTTTACACTATTTCGCACTCAGTTTGAGTGTAGCTCTTGCAGTTTGGAAACTTGCACCGTATTTTTTCTGACCATATTGGCCAATGATTTATACCATCTCTACGAATGTCCTTACATGGAACAGATTGGGCAGTCCCTTTGCATCTTTTAGTGTGAGACATTTGCTCTATTGAAGTATTACTAGGTCTTCCTCTTTTAGCATTTCGATCGTACCCCATTTTGCATAAGCATGATGCAACTTCAGATTTGAATTATTGTAAATTCATTAGATTTTTATTTATTTATTTATTTTCAGATTTTTTATCAGTTTTCACATTCTTGTATAGTAACCATGCATTTACGATAACTAGATCTAACAAATGAAAGAAAAATTCTCATATACCATTTCTTGCTTCTCATTGATATTTTGTGTCGAGCTATTATGCTATGGAGTAAGTCAACACTTCCCATATGTTTGTTATATTCTTCAATGGCATGAGGCCTAATAATTTCTACACGATCTTTAGTTTTCTTGTCATGTCTCAACACTTTTCCAAAAGGCTTTTCACCAGCAAATGTTGAGGCCATTATTACAGTTTTATTGTCTTTCCATGCTGTCACAGAGCTTTCTACATCATTATAATTCTCAACAAATTCCATTGAATGTCCTCGTTCCATTTTATTGAAAACGTTTTCAGTAGGAATTTTGGAATTAGGAATTCGGTTCCTATTTATAGTTCTTAAAGAATATATCCCTTCTTTAGATAAATATGCTAAAAGTGGAATAGAAGTATAATAATTATCAAAGTAGAGTGTATAATTTTATTACGACGTATGATTAATTCTTTCTAATCGTATTACGACATTTGCACTAGCACCTAAATCTGGTTCACCCTTCAGCCTATACTTTTCATTATTTTCTTGGCCTGAATTTATAGGCAAAACCTGATATCCTACAAAACACAAAAAATTTAAATCCCCATTTATGTGGCTTCAATTGTAAGCATTGTTTCATATAATGTCTTAGTTGATCATATTTGTTCATCGATCGATAGATACCTTTCTAAAAGAACTTTAGCATTCTTATTTAACTCATCATCAAGGAGTCTACATTTTATGTAGCCTATCATGGTTAAAATGATCTCTTTGTAGATGTTTATCATTATCATTAAAATGGAGATACTGTCTAATAGTTACAAATTTTTTAAAAGGCACTGTTTCTTTAATTCGATCAAATCCAAGATCTTCTGATCAGTATGCTCTATAGTTTGGCAGGTGAACTAGAGATGCATAAATGCAAATACCCAAATATTGATTTATTTCATTCTCTGATATAGTCAAAGGCTTACTTGGATTCTTTTGAATAGTATATCGTTTGCTGTCTTCATTTATGTTACTTATGATCTCTTCCGTCCATAAATATTTAAAAAATTGGTACGTAGAGTCCAAATCCGCAATATCTCTTGGGAGCATGTCATCTCCATGGAATTTTATTACTTCTTCAATCAATGAAATGTTTTGATTTTTCCATAAAATATTCTTTGACAATGTTTTATTATTCTTAACAGTTAAATTTAAAAAAGGTTCTCTGACTGAAATATACCAGCGGCCGAGCGGTAAAGTCGCTGAACACTGGTAGTTCGGTCCGAGGTTCGAATCCCGCGAACGGGGCTGGCTGCATGATCGTTTTCGGGGTTTTCCCCCATGTGTAACTTGTATACAAGCCAGTTTCCCTTAGAAAATCCTCCACGAAGGCATCCCTCCCCGTAGGCAGATAGCTCTCGAGGCTTTGCCATAATCACACACACACACTGACTGAAATATTTCTATCAAATTTATTATCATCATCATCGGATTTTTTTATATTCTGAATTGTATTTTGTGAAACAACACTATTTTCCCAGTCGCTATCCGAATCATCATTAGATGACACACAATCAGGTAAAAAATGAACATCATCAGCAGAATATTCAAAGACTATCCTCACTTAAAATCACTTAATTCGTCCAAATTATTCATATATCTAGCAATTTCATCTTGGGTTAGTAGTATACGCTTTTTGGCCATGTCAAAATGGTAACCAAAGACCAATGTTGCAGACCTGCAACATATAATTAAAATCAAATTTCTTTCAAACTTTTTCCATTAGAAAATCAAAATTACTTTTAAATGAACATAAAATGTTTAAATTTCTTACCTGGTAATTTTTTTGTCAATTAAACAAGAGGAAGCATAAAATATAATGGATTCTTTTTATAGCAAAAACACAGTTCTTGAGACATCAGAGATTTTTATAATTGTTGTGATTTCTGGAAAAAATGTGCTGCTATCTAGTGACAAAATTAGCATGTATTTCGTTGCTGCAATCTTTTCTTCTCAGATAAGTGATTTGTAGGTAATTTTAAAAAATATTGAATCTGTTTAACTAAAATAAATCATATGTTGCAGAAATGCAACAGTGGGAAGTTAAGGGTTAAATTATATGCATTTTTGGTTGCATTTCATTTAAACACATTTCCTCTAATTTCATTAGAGATAGACTTCTCATTAAATTAATTCAGTTCTCTTTGTGGCAAGGGAAAAATACATAAAACTCAAAATATCTTCATAAAAAATTTAAAGATATAGAAAAACATAAAACACCAAATATGGTTAAAACAATTAAAAAACACAATTTTCACAATTAAAATTAGAGTTTCTACGCAAAAACAAGAAATTCGGCCAGCAGGCAAGAAAGCAGATTTTTTGATGCAAAAAAACTGAAACTTTACTTTTGGTCCCACTCAGCAAAAAGACGCTGAAGGTGCAGAAACTGACTTTATTCACTATTCTAAATTTCAAATGTAAACAAATATGGCTGCTATAGTAAACAATAATTAGGCTTAGCCGCACTTAAAGAACTTTTAAATTGTCGATAATTCCACAATTATTGCATGCAGGTTAAGTAAAGGCATAAACCTTAACCGGAAGATAAGAGCAATATAATTCAATCATTTTTAAAGCAAAAAAATGCCCAGTTTACCAACATGTAAGAATGAAAAAAACCGAGCTCACAGAGCCAAGTAACTGAGTGAGTATATATATTTAGATACTTTTGGTGTGGCCAATTGCAACCAAAAAGGAAGGTGCACAACTACATGTTATAGCATTCTTACATACAAAATTTCAACATTCTGAGACTACTTGCTTTTGAATTCTGAGAGATACATTCATACAGATAGACATCAAGGAAAAAAATCTCTTCAGAATACATTTTAAATCAATTTCATAATCCGTTTATGAAAAAAAAAAAAAAAAAAAAAAAAAAGAGTCTTTATTCTGTCCTTACGTACAGATGTGATGCAACGTTAAACTGGCCTTAATAATACGGCAGCTGGTTCCACTGACCACCATCTTCAACAAGACAGCTCTACATTCAAAATAGGTAACTGGGGGAACAATTATGCAAAATTAGTAGTTAATAAATTAAAAAAATATCTTCCTAAAGGTCTGTCTTTGAATAGCAATTTTCTAAAGCTATTTGAGAGAAAGAAATAGATCATACCATCTATGAAATTACAGACTCTAGTGCACTTAAAATTATCTTTATCTTATACTAAAATCATTTCTACTATCTAATTCTAAAATCTGTTTTGCTCCTTCTTCTAAGAAAATCCTTTCTATCTCTTTAAAATATTTTAAATAATCTATCTCCCCCCTTTTTTAATGTAAACAAGATAATATTATTCAACAGCTCTCCCTTTAGAGCTACTTCCATGCCCCTGAAAATTTCTTGCATAACCTTCCTTGCGAGTGTATTTGAGAATTTGAAAATCACTGGTATCACATTTTGAGAATCACTAATGTATTAACTCAAGATCAGGATACTGTAGAGAAAATGTTGTTTCAACCTAATCCATAGAACATGGTAAATTAGAATTATTGCAGCAAACTTCGAACTCATTTTAAGACATAATCTTCAGTCAGAAAATACGGAAAAAATGTGAATTAAACATTAATAGTATTCACATACAGAAACTGAACACACTGTACACTGCAGCCCTGTTATAAACACTAAAGCAGTGAAAATATACATTAACACTGTACAGACATTCGGTTATTTCAAAGCAGGATTAATGAAAAATGAGCAATGCCATCGCCAAGACTCAAACCTTGGACCTCTTGAACACATGCCAAGCATACTGACCATTATAACATGAATGCATGCTACGAAGGCAAGAGAAATACCTTATATACCCCCCTTTTAAAGGGTGACTGGGGAATTAGGGGGACCCAAGTGCCAAATTCTGGTGGTGGAGAATCACCATTCACCACCTTTCTTAGTTCAGGCATCACTGTAGGGACATTAGGTTATTTCGAAGGAGGATTAATGAAAAATTAGAAAGGCACTTGCCGGGACTCGAACTCAGACCTATCAAATAGATGCCAAGCATGATGACCACTACACCATGAAGGCATGCTAAGAATGAGGGAGAAATACCTTATAACAAATAACAACAAATTTTTTACTTATTTAACCTCACAATGCACCATAACCAGCAGTTAGTAATATTTTACATCAAGCCTTCTTTCCTCATTTGAAGTAACTCATTTATTTTGCACCATCATATTAAAAAGCTGGCAATACAGCACTGCAAAAATCTACATGTATCTATACCACTTTACAGAAAGATGCCTAGCTTGCACAACAAAATTGCAAACATTTAGGGAAAAAATAAAAATAGCAGAAATGTTTAAATTGCAATAATATTAAATTTTTAAACAGGGCAATTAATCCATAGAAAAATAGATGTAGCTTGATATGATGATATAACAGGTGCCTTATTTAACCCTCATAAAAATTCAGGGTGACAAATAAAAAAAATACCTTTTCCATCAAGCGTCTCAGCACTGTATTGCTTCTTACCCACCATCCAACACCAAGCTCTCTAAGTTCACTCCATTTTAAATTGCCTTTTTGAGTACAAGGAACCAACTGCAGTAATTCTTCCTGAGTTTCAGAATGAAAAGCCCATACTAAACTATGGCTTCCCAGACCTTGATTTTGGAGTTGAGCTCGTTGACCAAGAGGTAAACACCTCAGTAAGTAAGTGTAATGCCTCATAGCTAAAAGGAATCTTAATCCACAGTCATCTAAAGAATCTGAAAATAAAATAGTAATTAAAGAGCATTTATTAAACTGCTTAGAGAACACTTATTTCATTTACATGTGGAATCTTTACTCAATACAAAATAAATCAAGAGATAAAAACAAATGCAAGCAATCCTCTGTATATGAAGATACCTTGGCTGGTTTATAATTTGGTTTGTAAACTGAAAACTACTGAATTTCACAAATTTTATGCACAATTGCTGTTATTAAGCAACAGAGGTTTATATTCATAGTCACATTTACCTCCAAATGACAGTAAATCTATTTTCAAAGAATACGTAAGTGGATTCACTAGAAAATCTTTCATGCAAAGCTTAAGTAAAATCATCAAGTAACCTCTTTTGTTTACTTACCAAGCTTCAAAATAATATATAATCTGTTTTCAACAAAATCACTAAGGGTTTTCGAAAATCTTTCATAGCAATACCAGTGCATTAATAATTATCTTAATAAAAGGCAGATTTGATAAATTATGACCTGATAAAACCATCAATTGCTTATGATGTAATTACTGTAAAAGTACAGTTGCCTTTGAAAGCTGATATCTAAAAAGTTCATTAATGACTGAAGCCACGGTAATATATGCTATACATTCATCATAATTGAAAGAAAGTAGAAATGTCTTTAAACATTGTAAAAAGCATCTGAGTTGCATGAGTAATACTTTTCCTGTCACATAATTATATAAAGATTGAAGTAACAAAAATTAATGAACTAACATAGCCAAAGTAAAAAAAAAAAAAATATTTATTTTAAGCATAATAAAATATAAATTTCTACAATAATAAAAAAGGTCATCAAATTTTTCAGTTATGAAATAACTGATTTAATTTAATTGGTTAACTGTTATCTCACTCTTAATTATGAATATCAAATTTTAATGTAAAACAAGCTTTGCTTTAGAAAACCTCACAAATTGTTCTACAATGACAGAAAAAAATATGATAGTATTAAAGATTCATGAAATGCAGTAAATACAACTGTCCAAATATATCAAACATGCAGAAGAGCTCGAAATTAAACTTGAATTAGAAATTAGTCTTGTTCATCTTACCTTATAAATAAACTTTCAAAGCAGTATTACTTTCTGTATTATTTCATAATACAGAAATTAAGAAATATATTATTCCTGCCAGTTGCTTTCACACCTTATGTAATTTTTACAATCAAAATTACCTAAAAAAAGGCCAGAATTACTTTTATATAGAACTTATAATAAGACCTATACTTAGATTTGATTTTGAAATCTGTACATTAGCTAAGGTATAAGAAACTCAAGTTCTTGGTACAGTAAACATTAATCTTCCATGAAAGCATCCCTCATTTTAGGCAGATAGCACTTACATGCTTTGCCTATTCAAATAACCAAACTAAACTAAAGCTATTATTTGAAAGATATTCTGACCAGTATGAAAGTTATCCACTTTTACAATCAGGCATTTATATCAAACAGGTATGGGATTAATTAATGGATAATTAATGGGATTAAAATTAACAAATTTGAAGTGCTTAATTTTAAAAAAAGGATTAATTTAGATTTTTTTAATTTGGCATTTTAATTCTAATGAGCTAAGTTTACTGTTTTAATATTATGATTTCTGAGTTTCAATATTTGTATCTCCTAAGAATCTTCATACTTTCATAATACTCTTCCAGTAATTAAATTTTTGTCATTGTGCACATGTATTTGATAAACCTGCCTTGCTGTTATTGTTTCAAGACATTTTAATCTAATAAATATCAAACTGCCATTTCAAGAGAAAAATATTAATAGCATCAACCAAAATATAGATATTGTGCAATCTTTGTTTGAATAATTCATAAACATAAAAAGAATCTTAAAACAGTGATATTTGTATTAAAAAAAGTATGGAAAATTATTAAATTCACGCTGACCTGTAGTAACAGTTACATTAAGGCCATCTACGCTGCTCTTTGTATCCTTAGACAGAAGCTGCAAAAAAACATAATCATTTTCAAGCACATTACATAAACAAAAGATACCATTTAACTTAGATGTAAAATAATACACATACGCTAGGCATGAATACACATGCACATATTATGAAATACATATTGAAACTGTTACACCAGTGGCAGCACAAAAAAAAATTGAACAGCATAAGCATAAATATTTTTTTTTTAAAGATTTAATACATCTAATGCTAGCATAATTTTGTTATTTACTTACACTCAAATACTCAATGACCACAAGTGTATCATATACGCATTTTCAAACATACAAGATCTTTTAGAATTTTTTTAAATACGAGCACATTGTGTTCATGACACTTAGTTTATTTGAAACTATACATTGTTGTTCTTGTGTCCTAAAGTTTTTTCTGATGGTGGCGATTTGTTTAGATGTATGAGCCGAGATATAAAGTAAACAAAAATAGACAATACACAACTGTGGCTTCACATGATATAAACACTCGGAAAGTTTCAGTTGCTCAAAATTTGCTTTTTGTTTTTGTCCTATCTGAATATTAGGAATGGAGTTGATGTTTTAAGAATTCCTGTTTGTAGTCAGTTTGCATCTTTTTTAGATAGTAGACATAGTTTTTTGCCCTGGTCAAGAGAATTAAACAAAGATTGAGATGTTTAAGAGAAAGAGGTTTTAATGGAAGAACAGCATAACTGAATCTTAAACGAGCCTACAAGTGAATATTCTGACATTTAACTGAAATTTTTTTAGATACTGAAATTTTGTCAGACTAAACTTGGAAGCTTGTTTTGATTCCCCCTCACAATCGAGTACAAAAGTGAATATCTTATTACAGACTCATTACGAAACTGAAGCAGTATGAATTTATGGGAATTGCAAGAAGTAAATTTAAGTTACATGAATGAAACTAATAATTCCTATCAACAAAAGATGAGTAAAAATCCCTCTTCTCCAAAATCAACTCAGTTTGCTCTTGCAGATGTGCCTAAAATAAGGGAATTTCTGAGATTTATTATTCTAATGGAAATAATTAAAAGGCCTGACTTCAAAATGTTTTTCACAACTAACAAATAGCACTAGAAGAGAAACACGCTAATATGACAATCAAAATTGCAAAAACAACCTTGTATTTAGCGTAAGTATATTGAAACCCTCAATCGATTTCGAGGGCAGCTAAAGGTCCCTCCTCATCAGGAGAAAGAAATACCTAGAAAGAAGAAAAATAAAGGGGAAGGAGTTTCAGAAACACGTGGTCCTTATCACGTCTCGTCTGATAAGGACCAGGTTTTCTAGGTATTTCTTTCTCCTGATGAGGAGGGACCTTTAGCTGCCCTCAAAATCGATTGAGTGTTTCAATATACTTACGCTAAATACAAGGTTGTTTTTGCGATTTTGATTAACAAATAGTATTTGAGAAATGCTAGTGACTCCATTCTTCAACAGAGTGATCCCTCAGAAAAGTTTTCTGAATACATTATGGTTTCTGCATTTAGCTTTCAACACTGAAGCAAAAAAAAAAAAAAAAAAAAAAACTGCTAAATTGGGATCTTTGACAAAAAAAATTGCAGAACAAATTTAAAACAATTTATGCACCTAAAAACAAATGCATTGACATGTCTCTTTTCACATGGAAAGGACGTCTTGAATTCTGCCAATATATCCCTTCTAAAAGGTCCCGTCATAGTATTAAGATATAAACAAACTCTGCAAATCAAATTCTGGATATGTCTGCAAATTTTTTAGTTTACTGTGGCAAAGATACAGTTGTTATTGCTAAAGGTGGTTCATATGGTGAACTAGTTGTGAAAACTCTAATGACAGATTTATCTGGCAATGGATACAATTTATATTTCGGTAGATTTTTTAATTCTCCATCCCTTGCTGAATATTTAAATTCAGTCTAAATATGAGTGGAACTGTTTGTAAAACTAGAAAAGGAATGCCAAAAGATTTTCTGCATGTTTTACTGGTGACTTCTATTCACGGTCAATATATATGGGCTACAAGATGAAAGAACATGAAAATAGGATAGAACATTTTAAAACCCAAATGAATAATGGACTACAATAAAAATATGGGTGGTGTTGATGATGGGGGTGCAATAATGTACCACCATACATCTTTCAGAAAGTCAATTAAATGATATAAGAAATTATTCTTTGGCTATCGTTTTGTTGAATGTCAGTTTCAATACGGAACTAAAACTCCAACTCTTCAATTCAAAATGAAAGTGGTAGAGCAAATTTTTTAAAACTATGGAAGCTTCAGAACAGAAAGGCAGTTCACAGCTCAATCACCATCCACCCCTTTACGGCTTTCCGGAAGGCATTTTCCTTCACTTAATGTGAATGACAGAGGATTTAAATCCAAAAGAAGAAGTGTATTTTGCTCACACACTGTAAGGAATCAATGGAAAGTTACCCAGACTTTTATTTTCATGAGCTATGCAATGTGGGACTTTCTGTTTATCCTTGCTTAAAAGACTGTCACCAACTGTCTTTTTTGTTTATGCTATAATATATTATCACACATTTTATTATTTATTATACATGTTTAAATATAGATTTGGATACGTTTTGCACATTTTAATCAAGATGCATCAAATATTTTATTTTGCATATAGATTTTAATTTTTTTCAGAATGTCGATATATTTTTATGATTATATTATTGCTAGTTACAATTACAGAAAAAATCAAAGTAATTAGTAAAAAAAATACTTTTAATGAATTTTTTTAAGTAAAGCTTAACGATGCAAAATACCCAGTCCTGCGATATTCTACAACTGCAACAGCATACCATCTCCAAGAAAAATTATGCTAAGTGGCATGCCACTGCATAAGATGATTAAGTACTAATGCATATATGATACCCTCATCATGAATGGGTTAATGATTTTATATTAGTTCTGAATTTTTTTACATTACTTACCAGGATCAGCACTAAACCTGTCCACAAGAGCAGTATTGAATGATGCAACTGTGTCTGCTAAGGCCAAAAGATGCATTTGATCTAAACTTGAAAGACCAGGAAGGTGGGAATGAGTCAGAAACCGAGTTAATAAAGAAGCCTTAATAAAGAAAGCAAACATTTCACTTTATTTCATTGCCTATAAGCATATGTACATAGTCTGTCAAGAAAATTATATACACAGCACATAAAATGTTTGAATTTATTCAGGTTTATCAAGGTAATCAGACACCTTTTAATTGTCTCTTCCTCTACTAATGCACTTTTGAAAACACAGTTTTTATTGTTTTAAATGATGCTGCTGAGCTTATTTTTGTTAGATCCTAAAAGAAATGTACTTTAATTTTGAAATTTTATACTTTTCTCAAATGTTGCCCCCTAAACTCTATTTTGATTTGAGAGAAGGGGGAAAAAAACTCAGAGCTCATGATATAACAAAGAAATATGGAAATGTTCCAAACATTGCAAATGAATCACTGTTTAGGGATGTACAACAGCTAATGGTGTGTATTTTGAAGGTGTATCATTATGATGTAAAATCCCCCTATTTCAATTCAACAACTACAGCTGATTCTGCCATACACAATCTCGTATGTTCTCAAGGTATTCACATACTGAGCTTTATCCACAGACTGCTTTTTGGAAACACATTCATGGTGCACAGTTCCATAAATGTAAAAAAATATGTTGATCATGATTCAGATTTTGGATCTGCTTTTTTTGAAATTCATCTGTTCAGGATTTTCCTTTCATCTTCCACTCTTTGGTGGGTGATTCAGATAAGAAGTCACATTAATAAGAAATCATATTATTTTAAACCCAAAACACCTCACCCATAACATCCCTTCTGAGAAATTCATGGTCTGACAAGTCAAGACAGCACTCCTATCATCTGACTTTTTTTCAGCAATCAAACATCTTGAAATCTTTGCAACGGTTTTCTCATTCCAATTTTCTTGAATAAAAGCTTGCAAATCATTTTCCCTTCTAAATTTAATTCTCCTAAATTTAGAGAACTTATCTAAATTTAACTAATTCATTTTAACACTTGGTTATAGATTATAGCAACTATAAAACAACATACAACTGATGTTTCATCAGCAATTCAGAAGAAAGTTCCCACATAGTCACATAGTCTTGCCTGTCTTAGAAATGTTTAACCCAACAGAATGATGCTGGCTGCTACATTGTAAACTCTTAATACCCTCTGCTTCATCATTTTATGAATTTCAATTCAATTCTTTCCAAAAGTGGTAAGATATTTCATACTAAATCATTACTTCATTAATACATTTACGCCAATTCTAAAATTCTTGCAAACTTGCATTTTACGCATTACAAAAACCTGCAACACAAATAACATCCTGATTGTGTTTTCCATCTTATGGCATAGTGTTAATTTTTAATGATAATGCATAAATGAAATACAATAAATATTAACCTATTTCATGATGTATGTACACAACAGTATAAATCTGATGTGACTGACCACATGACTTCTACAGAATATTAACTTATACGCATTTTTTCATTTCATTTAAATTATTAGAGAATTAAACCTACTTTGCCGCTGCAACATAAACCACATAGAATAAATGCATTCTTTAAAACTTTGTTTACCATAACTCTGGCGCTAGGTTACTTAACATATATTTCTTCAGAATGAATGCACAAAATTATATCACTTAAAGAATAATACCTATCCTTGCCACAGTTCATTCTAATATTACTAAAGCTAGAACTAGCTTTAGTATTTCAATAGAATACTGGATAAAATAAAATAATAAATGATAAAGCTAGAACTATGTATAAAAGAAATTAAGCAAACAAAAAAGAAACAGTTTTTCACAGACGATTGAGTATTTCTCATTCAATTAATTCAGTTTTCACTTCGGACAAGGCAAAAATACATAAAAACTTAAAATATCTGTATTAAAAATTACGAAGTGAATCTTAAATGCATATTTCCTCGAAAAAATTCCAGAAAGGATTAAGCATGATTTAGATAGTAAATAAAGGCGTTATCTTTGTTGTTGTGAAACTAAGTTTCTCTAGATTGGCAACAAATCCGCTACTCAGCTGTTTCAAATGTAAACAAGAGCAATGGCCGCCATCAAATTAGGCTTAGCGGCACTTAGTCAATTTTAAAATTGTTGATAATTCTAAAAATATTGCATACAGATTTTACTAAATAAACATAAAACCCTTAACTGGAAGATAAAAACACAACATAATTCAATCATTTTTAAAGCAAAAAATGTACACAATTTACAAACGTATACGTTAAGTAAAGAAACTGAGATCACTGAGCCGGGTAACAGAGTGGATATATTTATAAATATATTTATATACGTTTGGCGCGGCCGATTGAAACGAAAATACGAGGTGCACATCTACATGTTATAGTAGTCTTATATACAAAATTTCAACATTCTGAGGTTACTCGCTTTTGAGTTATGCGAGATACGTACGTACGCACATTCATACAGACGCCACAAAAAATTCTCTTCAGAATTTATTTTAAAGCAGTTTTTTATTTTTTTGGAGGAGAAGAGTCTTTTATTCTGTCCTTACGTACAGATATCACGCAAAAACATCGTTAAATTGCATTCGAAAGCGGTCAAAGTGGATATTTTCGTTGAAATATGCTGCCTGAAGCTTTTCGCGATTACAATACTTCCTTCTTACTTCGTACAAGGAAGTAAAAAAAGTCATAATGATATTTGGTTTTAAACAGAATGGAAGTACCTGGTTTGGACTAAAATTAGATAAATGGATCTTCTTTTCGTTTACACTGAACGATGGTCTTTCTTTCTTACTCTCTCCTGAAAACTTATTGTGGAGTATATCATCTAAATTGTCTTCCACACTCGAAGTTATATCAAAAAGACCTGTATAATCCTAAAAAAAAATTTTTTTTTTAAAGATCAAGAAATTTTTTATTACATGTTTTTCTACGCAGAATTTTAAAGAAATAAATGACTAAGTTAAAAATTCAGTTATTCATTCACTACACACAGATGCAATTTAAAAGCATTTTGAAATGCAGTATTTATCTACTAATGTAAAAATTGCAATTTTAGAATAATTTCTCAGGTTTAGAAACAAATTAAAGAAAACTTCTCCATTAACACCAAACAGAACTTTGATAGAAAAGTTCTAAAATTTTCCTTTAAAAAAAACTTCATTGTTACACATTTTTTATACTGTATTAAATTAATTTTTGTAACTTCGTTGGGCAGCACTTTTCATTTGAGGAGAAATGGTATGCTAAGATTAAAAGATTAAGTTTTTTACAATTATATCATTTTATTTTAATGACATTGTTAACACAAAATATGATAACAACACATATAACATAATACTTCATTTTATCATCTTAAACAGCACTGTATAAAGAATCCAAAGGCTAGGGGACTGATTATGATGCAAGCCTTTAAGTATTAATTCAGAAGTCAAACAACAAAAATCAGCGTTATATAAGAAAAAATTCTTTTTTTTTCTTATATAATATTATACATAAATATATATATTTATCTAAATATATATTTATTTCTTATATAATACTAATATAATTAAATTATATAAGAAATAATAAATGAACTTGAATGAATGAATATTTAGAAAAAAACGATTTTTCTTTCATTTAAAAGTGCTATTTCAACAAATACACACACACAAAAAAAAAAAGCTAAAATGCTGTAACTGGTTGCATAATTTTAACCATATAACAAAGGTTTTATAAGGTTTTTTATAAGGTAATATTAAGACCAGCATTGGGAATAAAAAAATTTTTTTCTTAATTTTTTAATTAGAATTAAAAAACTAACAATTTTAACTTTAAAAAATTAACAATTTGTACAACTGGTGGCAAAAAGCTTTTAAAAAGAACTTGTTCCTGTCCCAGGGTCAAAAAACTTCTTGAGATTTTAGTTTAAGCCTTTGACACGCGCAATATTATTTTTATAATTTTTTTAACTAAAAACTCTAGAAATTGAATATTATGATCCTAGAGACAAATAATATATGAATTTAAAAAATCTACTCTTACCCATTGTTCTATGGGTGGTGGTCGAACTGTGAAACCACCGCGCGTCTAGGACTTTGGAACTTACTGAGGTAGTAGGGGTGGAAAAAAAAACTTACCTTTTTCCATGCACGTTTCCAATAAATGACGAAATTTACGAATTTGGAAGAAAAAAAAAAAAAATGTATATAAGAATTGCATTATATATAATTTTTTACAATATTTTTCAAAGTAAATCCTCAGAAAAAATTTAAAAATAAATATTTATGTAATTTTTCCATAGCAGTGAAAATATAAGTACCTACATAATAAGGATGTTTGGATAAATGGATTAAAAAACTCAGTAAAATAAGAATAAAAAAAACTCAGTTTTTTTTTCCCCTTCCTCCAAAGAAAAAAAGCATGTTTTGTGTTTTCGGTACATGCATAGACGCACATCGCACGTTTCGCACATGTATCTAGTTCCATGAGGTTTCATCCTTGTGCTACAAAATGTACACTGCCTGGATCTAAATTTCAACTGGTATATGTCCAATGTTATTTAGTTTCTTTTCATCTAGCACATGAAATTTGTGGTTTTTTATGTTAATGAGGGCTAGGTCTTTCTGGCTTTGTACGGATCGTTCATTTCCCATTCATACTTATTTTATCCTTATTTCGTCCCCAAAATATTTAATAATTTTAAATTTAAATAAAACTTTTAAGCGATTTCTATTTTAATTTCTATTTTTAATTATATTTCTATTATTAATTAAGTATATTTACATTAAACTTAAACCACAAGAAATGATTTATAAAATCACAATACTAGCTTGGGGAGCTAGTGTGTTGAGGTCAGAGAAAAGTCTCTGGAAAAGAAAGACTTTTTACTGGACAGGTGCATGTATTGTTTAGTTATAAAATAACTCTGTGGAATCAAAGCCCCTTATCTATATCCGGGTAAAAATAAACATTCCTAAGCAAGCAAACGCTATTGAGAAGATCAGTGGTTTCAAGGCGCGACCACAGAGCCTCTAGAGGATTGCAAGCATTGTGACAGAATGCTCTAGTGGGGCAGTGGTCGCGCCCTAAAACCACATAGCAAATGCCATACATATGAAGAGTTTTTTTTTTATATGTGCAGTTTAATTGTTGCAATTATTTATTGTTTATGATAGAAATCATGATGTGTGATAAATAACTTTTAAAATTTAAAGTTGTTTATATTAATAAAAGAAAGTTATTTTATCTGATTGAAAACGAATTTTAAAAGACATCCAATTTGTTGTATTAATACCTAAAATATGTATGATTCTGCAGTAATTTTGTGTTATTTAGAGGTAAAAGATCAGTAATAAATTGATTTTCACTCAAAAATTTCGGAAAAAAGAGGTGAAAAAAATTCGAAAAATGGTGGTTTCAGGGTGCGAACCAAAAGAATGGTTCTTCTTTTGGTTATAAATTACCAACAAGAAAACAAATTTATGCAAATCCTACTAAAAATGCAATTTTAATGTGAAGAAGTTTACACTTTTCAATTAACTTAAGTATGCAGAATGAATAATTTGTTTTGCCATGGTGCTATTTATTGCTCTTGTTAGGCAGCATAAATACCATAAAACAGGGGTATCACCTCAACATTTTTAGCATTGAAATAAAATTCATTTACAGTGGAACTTCACTAATAACAAGATTTAAGACTTAAAAAAAATTACAAACCTAATCTGGCATCTTAAATTTTGAATAAATAAAATGTCATATCATCAAATTCTCCACATTTCTGAATTCTGAAATCCTTGAATTGTTCTAACTATCTATTAAATAAATATATTTTCCTATATATTAGATAAAGCCAAGTAAGTATATTCTAAAAAAGGCTTGATATACTTTGGTCGAAAAGTAGAAATATTTCAATAATCCAATACTCACAATTTTATCAATACTATCTGCAGATGCTTAAAAATTAAACAATGGTATTATTTTCCCTAAAACTTGCATTTATTTGAATCTATGTCTGTATCAATCATAATATTCCTTTCCTATTACCTTGCTTTACGATTAAAAATTCCATTTCACTAGTCCAAAATGAATGTTTTTAAATAAACTTTTATAAGAAAATACATAAATGTACCAGACCAAAAAATTATGTTACCTTATCTAAAGACTGATCCTCATGAGTAGTAGGAGAAGGCTGCATGTGGGTTTCCTTATCTGTGGCCAAGAGAGTAAATAATGGTAGAGGTGGGATAGATTGAATTTCCACGTAGTCTAAAGTCACTTCTTCTGGAAATACTGATATTGAGCCTCTTTGATCATTAGGACTATGAGGTAAGGGAGATGTACTAGCAGCTAAAGACATTGCACGGGTTCGGGACCAAGTTCGACTTCCACCTTCACCTTCATTATCATTTCCTACAGATTCAGGAACTTGCAGGTATGTTTTCTGCATACACAATTACCCAAAAAAAAAAAAAAAAAAAAAAAAAAAAAAAACTACTGTTACTTAATTACAACAAACAACATTTACTACAAAAATATTATATTTAGTAATTGCATAAAATCATTAAGTTCCTATAGTTAATAAAAGTACAGTCAAAAGTCGTTAATTCGGACACCCATAATTCGGAATGATCTATAATCCGGACCTCAAAACTAAAAACTTTCTGCGCATGCGCCGCTTTGACACATGCGCATAGGCGTTTGCGCGTGCGCGTAAGACCTTTTACGACTGCGCATATGAGTGTGCGCAAGTGCAGAATATGTTTTCGCGTGCGCGTTTTATGTATAATGGACGTATAAGCTAAAATTATCTAATTATCTATTTCAGTTAATGTTGATGATTGCGTTGTTCCTTAATTTTCGAATTGGATCCGGCTTATTATTTTTCGCAGACTGTAAGAGCAATTTTATAAAAGTAAGCTTAAACTTTCGATTATATCAAATAGAATTTCCGATATATATTTGTTAATATGTAAAGGATCTAAAGCGAAAGTATGTTTTGAAATCCGAAATCTGTTTATCAATTTCACGCTGCTCAGCGGGGGGAACGCCGCGACGTAATGAATTGGAAGTTGAACTGTCAACACTATCCTTATCTTCAGCGCAGATGTTTTTATTTTATTTGGCTTATAATTTTCTTTACCAAATGTAGTATTTCATCTCGATATGCTCCGTTTTTGATATGATTTAAAACAAGTTCCTCGTCATTATAATTCGCTTCCGATAGCGAAGAAAAGTGACAGAGGTTATTGAAAACGAAAAAATTTCGATTCACAAATTAGTCGGTGTTCTCGACACAGAAATTATAGGACTTGAACAGTGGAACTTTGTAACTGAACAAGAAATTATGTCTGTTTAATAGAATTAAAGAGAAAGTATTATCACATGAAACGAAGCAAAACTTAAACAACTTACATTGAAAGAAATGTTTAATAAAGTAAACAAATAAATTTTAAGCTTTTTCTTTTTGCAAATTTTGATAACCTTTAGATCATAATTGTTCTTTATTTCATAAATTACGGTTTCATATTTTTAATTTTAGAATTTCTGCATGCCATCTTACGAGATTTAAACTGATGATCTATAATCCGGAAAAATCGATAATCCGGAATCGCCGAAGTCCCGGCGAGTCCGGATTAACGACTTTTGACTGTATATAACCTTTGTCCAGAAAGTTTTGATACAAAAATGCTGTAAATGGGTGTAAAATTAGAATTAATTAGAAATAAGTTTTACAGTAGCTGATATATCAATTGCAGTTCAGTCTGAAACTTGGAAACATTTCCATAAAACTCCACCAAATAGAGGGATGGTGCTTGGTAACACAGGTATCTTCACTGCAATAAATTTGTATACTTGATAATGATACAGGATGATTGTAAAAACTGAGCAGTACATGAACATAAAATTTTGTCTCAGATTAAAAAAGACAATTATGAAAGCTTATAACATTACCCAGCAGACTTATTGTAAGAGCATAAATGTTTGACTGGCAGAAGAAGCCTGTAAGTGGCAAGAAGTCAGTGGAGCATGAGCTTTACTCCTGGTGAACACCAACAACCATTCTGTCTATACAGGGATTTATGGCAATACACAAAACTACGGATTTTCCATAATTCCATATTTCTCTCATGCATCTCATACAATGGCAGTAGAATTTTGTGAGTGGTAGGAAATCAGTGGAGGATGAGCCTCACTCCTGGTGAACACAAAAAACCATTTTGTCTATCCAGTAATTTATAGCAACACACAGAAGTACAGCTTTTCCAGAATTCCATACCCTTCTCATGCATCTCCATGTGATAAAATCTTTTTTCCATAGTTAGAAAGAGCACCAAAAAAGACATGGCCCAAACATGCTATAAATATCTAAACAAACTGCTATGCCATGCAGTCTGGCAGGACAAGCTTTCTCTACATGCCATCAGAATGCATTTAGTTCCAGAAAGAACTACATTAACCCATTAGCCGCTGGTGTTGCGTTGACGCAACGGTCAAAATAAATGCGTATATAAATATAACTACCTAAGATATTTTATACCAGCAGATAATTTTGTGTAGGGAATATTATGAAGATTATTTCTGTAAAAAAATATTTGCCTTCAACAAGCACTTTGTTTATAATAATTAATCTCATATTTTAAGCAAAATTTTCGACCGGGTATTTTTGCTGAAAATATTTAACAAAAGAATCGCCATCTTTATGAGTGATCTATTTTTAGTCAAGATCACCATTTATCAGAACATTACATCAGTCAGATGTTTATATTTGTGTTGAGAAGGAAGGGAAAGCAGGTGTTGCATTGACACAACGTCAGCAAGAAACGGGTAGTCAATCTCCTTTTTCACCCATTCCTTTCGATGTTCTGATTCATGTTCTGGTTGTTTAAAATGCCTAGAAGGAGGTATCTTACATTAGAGGAAGCCCTTCAAAGATTTTTTGATGAAGAAACAGATGATGATAATGTTAATAATGACCAGAATAAAACTGATATTGTTGTTGTTCCCCCAGAAATTGCAGAGGCTAGTGACGAAGAAGAAAGGAATGGAAGTGTTTTAAATAATGATAATGATATTTTACCAAATGATACTGCTGGAGAAGTTGAAATTCATGTAAGAAGTAAGTTTTAGACTTCTAAAAGAATTTATAGTCATACTAAAAAGTTTAAAAAGTAGAAGACTGAAATCTTGAAGTGTATAAAAAAAGGAACTGTTAGTTATGTCTCAGGAAGAACATGAAGAAAGAGATAGAAGAGAAATTATAAAAGACAAAACACAAGGTAAAACTAGTGCACAGATTTTCGATTTTCTTTTTGGTTTAGACATTTACTCTCTTCTCGTTGAACAGACAAATATATACGCTCGGGGAAAAAAAAAAAAAAAAAAAAGCCTAGAATTTATTGCATCTGAAGCCTATATGAGAAGATTTATTGGAACATTATTGCTTATAGGATATCATTCTTTATCTCAAGAAAAATGTATTAGTCTTTTTTGATGAGGACATTTCTGTTCCTGTTGTACAAGAATTGATATCACGTTTGCAGTACAGGAATATGAAGCAGAATTTGCATTTGACAATAGTCAAATTGACAATACTGATAAATTATATGAAGTGAGACCGTATCTAAGCTTACTAAATATCACCAATTTTTACTACTGGAAATATAAAGACTCTTTCAGATATCAGATGCGAGAATGCATTATTCCTTTTGCAAACTCCTATTGAGAGTATAGAATTAGACAAATATATGAGCAACAGGAAGACCTAGTAAATTCAGCATTCAAAAACCATTGCATGGAGATGGTACACATTTTGTCATAAAGTCCGTTAATAACAAAAGACTTTGTTGTAAAGAGCACCATAGCCAGACTGTTTATAGATGCAAAGTATGTAATGTAGCTTTATATCATGATTGTAATCAAGTTTTTCATGCTTGAACCTTTCAAATGAAATAATCTGTATTTGTAAAAGAAATATCACACAAGTACAATCCTACTCACTAAACATCCGTAGTCTTATTGCGCTGACATTGCACGAACGCAACACTCATTTTTCCACAGGTAAGAGCATTTTTTTAATTTTCAATGTAAATTTATGTTATAAATGCTGAATTTAATATTTGTTATTATTTTCATGAGAAAAGAAACATTCTTTGTAGTTTTGACGGTTCATGGGTTAAAGGGAATACAGGACAAATAATTTTTTAGTCCTTACTAGCATACATAGCTGTTTTGCTAGTCTCAAAATCTTCTGAACAAAAATTGCAAAAGAACAACATGTAAAGTTTTACTGTAAAACTATTATACAATTTTCAGCTACATAGTTGACATAATTTAAATTAAAAGCAGAACAGAAGGGATAAAAGAAACTTTATCATATGCTATTAACATATTCTAAATTACAATGCATATTCAGGAAGAAAAAAACCTTTTTTTTGTTACATGTCATAGCATTTAAATTTTTAGAACAGTTAAGAAAATTAAAACATAATTAAATATCCTAACTACATACAATTTAATGCATGTAGAGAAGCTGCAAAACTAACTTCATTCATGGAGTTCATGTTAACAAATACCATGTATATAAACGTCCTCTTATTTTATTTATTATTTTTTTGAGAGGAAGCAAAATGTATCAAGTAAAAAAAAAAATTCCATTATGCTTTTCTTTTCACAATGTAAGAACCTTTAATCCATGCCATATTTGAAATATGAAATATAACACTTCCTTTCAACTGTATGATCTACAGGCAATAAATTTATAGTAGTTCAGACTTTCTTACAGTTAATTCAATACCTTTTGTTATTTTCTGTTTAATATATGGCAACTTACATCATAAATACAAGTTCCAGTTTGTTTTTGTTTAATTTTCTTACAGAATTTTCATATATTAGTATATGGAAAGAAAGTTCTACTTCAGCAATACACTGACTACCAATAAGTATTTGGACACCTATGCAAATGACGATATCTGCGGTCCTAAGGTATGATACGGACTCCGCCTGTATATATTGTGTAGGAAACAGCATTGGCTTTAGTCACATGCAAGATGCCCCGCAGTTTGGAGCTCTCTGATTTCGAGAAAGGTATAATTATCGGGTATCACAAATGTGGCCGATCCTTAAGGGACATATCTAGCGATCTGAAGTACCCAAAATTTTTACTACTGGAAATATAAAGACTCTTTCAGATATCAGATGCGAGAATGCATTATTCCTTTTGCAAACTCCTATTGAGAGTATAGAATTAGACAAATATATATGTGATTAAGAAGTGGAAGGTAAGCGGTGATTGTCGGAATGTGCCCCAAGTCGGCAGACCAACGAAAGTGGCAGATAGAGACCGACGAGTGCTGTCCAGAGAAATTCGAAAGAACCACACCCAACCAATGTTCCACAGGCATCAAGAGGCATCCGGGAGTATTGTTTCAATGAATACCATCCGTAAGGAAGCACATCTGCTTGGTTTTCATGTTCGTGCTGCTGCCCATAGGACTTTAATCACAAAGTCCAACCGCGCTGCTCGGTTAATGTGATGCAAAGCACATCGAAATTGAACCATAGATCAGTGGAAACGGGTTCTTTGGAGTGACGAATCAAGGTTCACCCTTTACCGTTCGGATGGCAGGGTCTGTGTCTGGCATCTACCTGGAGAACGTCTCCTGCCAGAATGCATTGGGGCAACAGTCAAGTTCGGCGGAGGTGGAATTATGGTCTGGGGATGTTTCTCCTGGTATGGGCTGGGACCCTTGGTCCCCAATCATGGTAAGCTCAACTCCGATGCCTACTGCACTACTTTGGATGACAATGTGCTTCCTATGTTGTGGCAGTTTTACGGGTTGGACCCCTGTTACTTTCAGGACGACAATGCCAGTTGTCATGTTTCGACGTTAACCAAGGCTTTGTGTATGGTGCCAATGGAATTCATCGAATGGACTGGCCTGCCCAGAGTCCAGACCTGAACCCCTATCGAAAACCTCTGGGAGGAGTTGCATCGCCGAATTCAGGGGGGGTGCACTACCGTGCCAAATCGGTGAAGGAACTTCTATGTCTTCTCCAAGCCGAGTGGAAGAAAATACCACTAGCTGTCATACAAAGACTTGTGGAAAGTATGCCCTGGAGGGTCCACGCTGTAATTACCTCACATGGCGGCTCTACCAACTATTGATTTTGAATAAAGTTAGTTTTTCTTTTCTATCACAGGTGTCCAAATACTTATTGGTAGTCAGTGTATAATGAAAATGGCAAACTAGAATGATCAAATCATGGAATGATTAACAGTTTCTTTCAGTTATAAATTAGGAATCACAGACAGAAGAATGATGTTTAAATATTATAAATCAACAGACATTAACTTTTGCAAAGCATCAGCAGACTTATCCAGGAAAGCATGTAAGTTCTACACTATAATTTATACAAAATCCAATTTTAGACCGATATAGGTTTTATTAAAAAGAAAAACTAGGTACTTTAAGAGAAGCTGGCATACAATCCATCTTCTTTTAACAGTGAAAAAATTCAGCACCATCTTGCTGGAAATACATTATTTAAATGGACAAAATAAAAATAATAAAAAGGAAAAGAGATAAGACTGACAATGGTTATTACATTTGTATCATAAAATATGATTTCCACATTTAACAGCTTGTTGATAAAAACTACAAATTAACAGCCAGTGTTTAATAACCATAACATGTTTCAAAAGAAGTTTTAAATTTGATCCAGTTCTCAACCATTTTCATAGAAACTGAAAAATTTATTTAAAAGATGCAGAATATAACAAAAATTAAAGGAAAATGCAGGAAATTATTAGTTTGACAAAACTGATTTTCATATGAGCTTTGCTCCAGATTTATTAGCTAAATAATTATAAACCAGCAACTAAGAAAAAAAGGAAGATATTGTAAAATATGATTTAAACAAAAGATCACCTTCAAAAAAACAATAAAATAAATAAATGAAAAATTAACTGAGGAATGAGAAGATAATATTCAGTTCTTAAATCAGTTACACTTCTGTACTTTTCTGTTTATAGACTAGAATACAGAAATATAAATCAGAAAAAAATTCTGAATTATTTTGCAATGCGATTCAGTTTCACAACAAGAGTAAACAAATGCATTCTTTTATTTAAAAATGTTGGAAATGACCACTATATTCTTCAATACACAAATCCAGATAATATTTCTTACCACTTCATTCAAAATGCTGACTAGATTGCAACACATGGCAGTTTATGATGATCTGCTTTCAAGCATGCTTCTAATATAGCAAACCTCTGTCCTTGCATTACACTCAAGATCCACTGACTGTCTTTTCTTCCTACCTCCTATTTGCTATGTTTGGTATTCTACTCTGTCACCTGCATACTTTACCAAAGATCAAACACATTTACCCTGAACAGCAGTACTCATAATGTGTTTCCCATTGTTAAACTGAATAACATTTACAGTGAGAATTTAAGGGTTTCTGTATTCTGAATACATGCACTATTTATTTTCCAGCACTGTCTTATATTTATAACAGAAAAGAATTTACTATTTATAAAACTACAACAACATAGCTAATCAACATAAAATAAAAGAAATAAATACAAGATTAAACAAATAAAACAAAGATTTAAACAAAGAAATAAAACAAAGTTTTTTTTAAAAAAAAACAAAGTATCAACATTTTGATTCATAAAGTAGCTAATGAATGAAATACCTTGATATTTTCTGTGCCAGACAGGCATCTCACTAAATGGCTGAGAATTGCTTTGACTCGTCGAAGTTTCCCAAATCCTAGTAGTTCCATCAACTGTTTGGGATGATACTGAGGAAGAACAGGACAAGCTAATCGACTAGCTTCAAATAAACCAAAATCTGGCATAGGACCAACACTTACTACACTTTCCCTACAGGAATAAAAACATTTGTTCTATTATATTATTTCTCTTTTAGCATGAAATATATACAAAGCAGTTCCTGATCCACATCTTTATATGTAAATAAAGGTGCATGAAATATCAAAATGCATTTTGTATTTTTCAGTTAACAGTGTCACAAAAAGTACACAGTTTTATTTCAAATTTATAATTGTATTAATTTATAAATTTTTATTTATAATTACATTAAATTCATTCATATTTTTCATTAGCAATTTCAGTATAGTTTCTTTAAGTTCCAAATGAACAGAACAGCAGTACTCATAATGTATTTCCCATTGTTAAAGTGAATAACATTTACATTGAAAATTTAAGGCTTTCTGACTTGCACTGAATACCTGCACTATTTATTTTCCAGGACTGTCTTAAATTTATAGCAGAAAAGAATTTATTATTTATAAAACTACAACAACATAGTCAACAAACATAAAATAAAATAAATAAATAATAGTGAGGTAAATAAAAATTTGTAAAAATACTTTTCTTTTTAGAACATTTAATTAAAAACTTGTAATTTAATTTTTTTTACATACTTCATTTCACATTTTACTTATTGCAAGAAATATAATAAAGTTTTTTTTTTTCTTTTACATTATGTGCAAAAGCAAATTTAAAGTAGATTACTGTTTTTTACAAAATAAGTGATCAAATTAAAAAAAAAAAAAAGGCACGACTGCCAAAGTTAAAATATGAAAAACCGTGATGTTCTTGTGCAAAAGACCATGAGTTTCCAGGATGTTTTTGAGTTGCAAGAAGACACCATTTCAAAAGAACTCCAGGATGACTTGAATTTACTTCATAATACACGATACAAGTTACTGAATTACTATTTGTAATATGATTCTGACATAAAATGCATTAATGTTAGTTAGATATTCTAAATTTTACATTATATAACTAATTTCACGTTATAATTTCTCATACTTTTCTGTACATGGGATTGAGACCATCCCATGTACAGAAGGAAAATTTTTATTATCAAAGTACTTCTCAATATGATGAAAATAAAATTAATAACTAATGTCTGTACTCTTACGTGGAAAAACTTTGTAAATTATCATATTATTAATGTAAAACAAAATCAAATACAAATATTACTTGACTAAAACTAGTTTCAAACTTCATAAAATGTTCTATAAATATCTACAGTACTTTATGCAATAAATTTCATTTATTGCTGAAAAATATTTTGTAAAGTTATTATAATTTTGAATAACCGGTTATATTATGGCTTAGATCTTTACTGTCATTTCTTTTTCCGTTTCCCTACCACAATGCAAATTAGTTATAAAATATATAAGGTGAGATTTTTGGGTGGTAAGACACAGCATGTTTACGCCTCTCAAGACCATGTTCCTAGGTTTAGCTAGCTCAGATAAGATCGTGCTCTTTGGCTTTGCATTATACTTATCGATATTTAAATTTTTATACCAGGGAGAAGTTTGAGCCAACTTCACATTAAATCATTTGTACAGCAATTGGCTACAAGACTCAGTTTCAAATTTGAATTTACTGTTACTTTAAGTTATATCACCACAGGTGGTTTTTTGATTTGTAAGCAAGAATCATGCATTTATGTTTCAGTTCTGATTTAACAAAAAGAATTGTTTGAAACCTTTCTTAAGACTTTGTAGTTCCCCCCCTTCCCCCCATGTAAAGCAATAATTTGCTCCAAGTTTGTTAGGAGTTCGTATTTAGTATATGCTAGCAAAGAAGACTAAACTCTATAACCTTTCTAAGCAAAGGCTAAAAATTAAAAATCGGGAGATTTGGCGAGCTTAAAGGAGGTACAACAAAAAGCCTTGAGTGTTGGCAGCTATGATAAAAGAATAGACATAAATCAATGAGCATTCCTTATGAAAACAAAGAACATTCTGAATATGGCCTTCCTTTAAATTAACATTTCATTAAATTAATTGAAATTTTATAATGATTATAACATTAATTTATAATAATTATAATGGTTGTAAGGATCTTAAGTTTTACTAACGTTTATTTTTATTTTAAATCCTTACTATCACTTCTTATTTTCTACTTCCGGCCAGAATTAAAAGCTTTAACTTATTTATGCAAATTTGTCTGGCGAACGCTAAGTACTTAAGTTGTGGCTTTTCGCCAAGCGAGAGAGAGGAAGGAGTTAGTCGAAGCAGGCCGCTTACCTTAGCAGTTTTACTTGGTTGCTGGTTGCCTTCCAGGCCAGAGGTTTAATCCTCGTGATAATTTTAAACGTATTGTAGTGTTAACAGTTCTCTGTACTACATACGGCTTCCTGTTAATATACGGCCAATCTTCCACGTAGGCCCTTGTTTATTATTCCAAAGTTAAGTTAGAGTTTAGTTAAATATTTTTATATTCTTACGTTCAGACCACAAGTAGTTGGTCTCTGTATTCCGAAGTACGAAAATTATTGTAAAGAGTGAAAAATAAAGGGTTTCGTATACCCTTCCTGTGTATCTTGTCTACTTCCCACATTTATTGAACATAGCTTTAGTAAGCTCCCTGTTCCGAGTCGGGTTCTTGCATGTTCCCAAAGAAAGTAAGGCGGAACATTGAACCTGATATGGTATGATGAACTTTTACAATTATTATAATAAATAATTATGAACAAACAAAACTATTGTTGAAGCATTTGCTTTGAAACATTTGCTTTAATGCCAGTTTTATTCTGAATGCAATTTATGAAACTTTCATATATCCTCAAACCATGCTCAGAAACTCTGTTGGATCTAGAAGGATGGGTTGCATAAAAAAGGTGTCGACAAAAACTGACTTCACAATACAAATTTGCATATAAAAATTTTTTGTAAATGAAAATAAAATATTAATGTTCATAAAATAGATTCACTTAAATATAAAAATTTCACATTTTTAAACTGCATAATTTCTGAAAAAAGGTACATGAAGTTAACAAACTTAAAACAAGATGAGATTTTCCTATTCTTTCTAGAAAGTAATCTGCAATTGTTTATTGAAAAAAAATTACTAGAAATACATTAATTACCTCTCAGGTTTGACATGCTCTGATTTTTTTCTTTTTGTTTCACTGGCAGCACTAAGAATAGAATATGATGTAGAACGAGACATAGTACCACCAGATGATGTAGGTAATCGTAACTGTGAAGATTCTTGGGCTCTGGAAAGAAGCTCCTCTTCAGTAAGTTTGCGATCATCAACAAGAGGCTCATCTTTCTCAGAACTGGATGAATTTTCTTTATCTAAAAATATTAAAACTTGCAATCAAAACCCAGCAATGATATAACTGCTAATCTATCACTAAGCTAAACTATATATAAAAAATTACATGATACTTTAACAATTACATAATCTTAATAAAATGTGCTAAAGAGCAAAAAGTAATTTTTTAAGCTACCATAATAATCTGGATCATATGTGACTAAAAATTACATCACCAGGCTGGTAATAATGGCATGTTTTAAAGCAGGATTGTCAGAGAAATTTAATTGAATTTAATTCAATTATTGTTGTATATGTGATTTTTTTATTAACTTCTATTGTTCCTTGAAGTTCTGTTAATGTCTTAATACTTTTCTGTTTTGTTTTTAGTGTATTTGATTAAAAGCATATAATTTTTTTAATTATACCTTCAATTTTTAATTCTACACTTGCACAGAAAACATATAACACACATATATATATGTAATGAATCAAACTTAGAAGTAATGATGTTGTAGAAATATTGATTGCATAGAATGTTAATCCATAATGAAGATCAACTTGGCAGCTGAGGCAGATTAAATATTCATCTTTATTTCAGTAAACATGCTGTGGCCACAAAAATTTGGCCCTCTATTTGGTATATATTTCAAAACATTTATACGTTTTATAACTTTGTGGCAAGAAGAGAGCAGAAAACAGCAATTTATCTAAGCCAAAGTGCAAAAAGCAAGTGACTTGTCTTCAGGATTAAATCTTAATTCAGAATTACTTAGTTTCGGTTTCCAGTGCATTTGATTGAATAATTAATAATGCTGTAAAATTATTATCAACTGTTTTAGCTCCATTTACATCAACAGCATTATGTACCAGTCATATGACAAAGAATAGTCTTGAAATGATGGAGTGGAAAAAAGATTACCATTTTCAGAACAGAGAGGCAAAAATATCCAAATTCAAATTAAGCACTAAGGGGCTGTTATTAATTTAAAATATAACTTATATTTACATATTTTTTATCTTGCTTACATATGTAAATGTAATAATTCTGTAGATGACTTAAGCAGCAGATGCATAGATACTTAAGATGACATAAAATGAAGAAAAGCTTTAGCAGAGGTGTTCGATTCAACACGATTTTATTTTGTAATTAAAAATATGTCACATATCAGTATGGGTGCACTATGCACCCCACAATTTTATACAGCTTACATCTCTTTAGATAATGACAATAAACAGCAGAGACAAGACATGCATGTTGACAAGCAACAAGCGAAATAGGGGAAAAAAGGGCTGCACATTAGTAGCAGTGATATTATAAATGTCTTTCTATAAATAATATAATGTCTTTCGATAAATTTATTCATTAATTTTATTTATCATAGCTTACATCAATTTTTCAAAATTATTTCATTCATTTTTCATATTCACATCTTTCTTAAAATAATTATAAAACTCTTAGTAAAATTTCAAAATTTTCACACTTATTTCAGCCTTTACTATAACTTCACCTTTCAGTTTCCTCACCAGAATGTAAATTGAGTTAGCGAGTATTTAAGTGGAGGTTTTAGGATTGTAAGACAAAGCATGTTTCTGTCTCTCATGGACACATTGCCTAGTTCCTGCAAACTTGGATAAGTTTGTAATTATTCAGCTTTGTATTATTGCAGCCGACTTTTGATTTTAAGTTGGTTAAGAGTTTTTAGCTGGCTTAGATTTACTTAGATTACTGGCTTAGATGGATAGATATTAGTCTTTGACTACTAGTCTACATTTAAAATTTTCATTTAATTGTTACTTTAGTTACATCATCATAAGGGGTGGTTGATCCTGTTAGTACAAGAAGGGCAAGAAAGGTTCATCTTGTTAGTACAAGAAGGGCATGTTCAAATTCTGTTTTAATAAAAAGTTTTGTTTAAACCTTTTCAAATATCTGCAGTTACTTCAGACACTGATGATTCGCTTCATGACAGTTAGGAGTTTAGAATTAGTTTATACTCTCAAAGCAAACCAAATTGTGCAACATTACTAAATCAAATTATTAGAATTCAAATTTCTAATACCATAAAATTATATGTTTTCATATGACAATGATTTATTTTTAAAATCCGATTTTGAAAGAAAAATATCAGTTTGTAAAGTAAATCCAATTACAGAAAAGCAGACGTGAAAATATTCTAACACACACTTATACCACAGTTTTGATCCTGTATCAGTAAAAAAAGAACCTAAATAATTTATTTGTATAAGAGCCGAAGTGAACACACAGTTCAGTGACCTTCAAAGCACTTTTGAACATAAACCCTATGTATAATTATTTTCTGTACAACTGATAGGTTAAATGATGCATTAATAAAATGCCTATGGAATTTTCCCCTCCTTATACATCGTCTTGATCTTGTCTGACTCATTGAATGTAATAAAGATGCTGTTGCACACTTTTTAGACAATTTTCACTAATTACAGAAATATTTTACCAAAAATTTTTACAGTTTAAATGTTCTATTAGATAACCCTTATTCTTCACTATCTTTATGTACCATAATTTCCAAGACAAAGCATTTTGTAATATCAGAAGAGGTATTTTATCCCATTGCTCTTGAATAGCATTCCTAAGTCAAAGGAGGTTTGTTTAAGTCAATGTTTAGACAACTTGCTTTTTAACCCTCTCGACATTACAGCTGGAAAATTCTGTATATAGAAGGCTGCCTTCTATATTCATTACACATGAAAAATTTCCGCTAGCTTTTAATGTATCTGATTTCGGTTTGGATGTATATTGGAAGAAATGGAATCAAGGTACAAAATGAGAGAGTCATTTTTTAATTTAAATCAAGAAAATACCACTTATTTCATGACATTTTGTGGAACTTTTGAATTTTAGGGCTAAACTCGTAATGCTCGGAGGGCTAAAAGTCCAAAAGCGCAAAAATGCATTCATGATAGATCAGGGTATTTAGTAGGGATACAAGTGAAGAGCACAGCCTTGATACCCATTTCTTGTTCCACTTTTTCCAGGAAATTAACAGTAAATTTTGACATGTCGCTGCTCGCTTTCACTTGATGCAATTCTAGTGATTGATCACACTATGTGTAAAGAGAAGTATTTCACATCTGAAAATTGGGTATATAATATGTTTTTGAAAATATGCAGAGTTAATCGTAACATTTTCTCCACTTTCTTTATTTTTAATTTGCTGTTATATGAAAAATCACCAACAATCAAAAATCTCTTTGAAAAACTTTCTTCAGATTCTTCAAACCATGTTTTAAGATTTTTTTTTCCTTTTTGATGATAATAAATGGATCTCTTTTTATTGCAGTCATTTAAGTACACCCAAGATTCGTCTACTGTAACAACATTTTTCCACATTTGTCCAGATAAATGTTTCTCATAAACAATTTTGCAGTGCATTCTGCGTTTGGAGATATATCGTGGAGAAAGACGATGCACATTATGTTTTGTCTCCATTTTAAGATTCAAATCAGCATTAATCATTCTGTTTACAGTTGACAATGAGCATTTTAATGATTTTGCAACTGTCTTTTTGATTTAACAGATTTTCTTTTAAAATTAAAGATCTTACATTTGCAACATTTAAAACATTATGTTTTTTTACTTAGATAAGTATTTGGAATAATTTTTCCACTTGAAGCTAAATTTTGACATCTTCCCCCTTGTTATTGACAATATTACCTCTTGTAGCTTTAGGTGTTGAAAAACCATGGCTTTCACAACATTTTTTAATAACTAGATACGAAAAATTCTCTTTGGAAAGAACACAAACATAGCCTTCATCCACTGCTTCTTTAAAAGTGGCATTTTGCATGAAAATAGATTAAAAACTTTTTGCAGATACGGCACTGATTCAACACAGTTTTATTGTGTAATTAAAACAGGTTCACCTATCACAATGAGTGCATTATACACCCCAATATTTTATACAGCTTACATCTCTTTAGACAAAGGCAACAAACAACAAATGCAAGACAAACATGGAAAAAAGAAAAGAAAATGGCCGCACATTAGTAGCAGCAATACTTATACAATTGATTTCTTTGGTTAAATTCTGAATCTGCGACTGGATGCGAGTTGTCGCAATGAATGAAGATTACATAAAATGGACAAATTTAGAAAAATGCAATCCGAAAAAATTATTGTAAACAATTTAAAACAGAAAGGGGAGATAAGCAAATTAAAATGAGAAAGTAAAAGGTCTATTGTTAAATTAAAGTTAGTAATTTTCTTTCATATTTTATATCCAACATATATTGATTTTAAAGAGCCCAGCTACAGTAATTTTACATATCAAGTTAGTAATTAATAATACTAAGCAGCATTGCCTAATTATTATAAAAAATGAAAAGGATGAGTCTAGCTAATGTAATTTCACAGGTTCAGCTAATAATTAATAATAACAGAAATTTTAAGAACTGTATTCATCACTTTTACATCACTTAGTTTGTTAATAACAGATTAAATTTGAAAGGAAATAAAAATATTTTATATCAAGCAGTGACAAGTCTGTTTCAAATAGCTGTGTTTATTGATTAAATTTGAAAAACAATCATCTTAAACTATGCCAAATGATTGCTAATTGAATTAAACATAACTATCTAACGTTCTGATGAATGGCACTACACTCCTTCTAAATCAATCAGTTTTGTTTCAGAAATGAGCGTTCAGTATCTGATGGCTGTATGTTCTGTTGTTTCCCAGCAGTTTGAGGAGCATACATACATAGATAAATACAGTTTCTTCAGTTTAACAGAGATACAATACAAACAATAATGAAAATCACTATCTATAAACATAGAAAAATAATTCTTTCTAATATTGTACAAGATTACACTCAATTTATTAAAATTTCTGTTTGATTTAGAAATCCAGTTTCATTATTACTTAAAATCAAGGACCTTTTAAGCCAAAAACATGTCACTTTTAAGCAAAGAAAATATATACATCCACATTTGCCATAAAACAGCATTCACCTCATCATAAACAGCATATACACATTTTAAGAAATTAAACCTATGTATTAAAATTTTGGGGGGGAAAAAAAAGAACATACCATCCACTGCCATTTTCCACTGTGAATAGATGTGCATTTCACTATCCATACCTACAACTAGTATTCCATGGCGCACCCATGAAAGCTGCATAGGGATTGGTGGAAGAGAATCAGCAGACTTAAGGGGTGTGCTTCTAATACGCATCCAACGTATCTCATCATTACATGATAGAGGAAGAACCATAGAAGAAGCTTGTTTTAAAAGAGGACGACTAGCTGATTTGGATGCTTTCATTGCTTGAACATTTGCTTGAGCAATATCATTTGATACAGGAGCAAATAGGAGAATCTAAAATATTATATTTTAACAGTTATAAATATTAAATAATTTGTATACCTAAAAAATTTTATTAGTATTATATTGTTAGTTTAAAAGCAAAAAACTCTTATAAATGTCTGTGTATTATGAAAAGAAAATAGAAGTTTCATTATTTTTTATTGTACTAGTATTATAATTGGCTGTAGCTGTTTAAAACATTATTAGCCTAAATTGTTTATTAACTTTACCAAATCAATTTATGACTATTCAATTATTTATATCAGCAACATATACTGTTATACTTTTAGGCATCAGTATTCAACTATAAGGTTTTTTATGTTAATTAACCAATTTTTACGATTTGGATCTTTACTACAACTTCTCCTTTTCATTAGCCCTTACTAAAATGCAAATGAGTATTTAAGGAAAAGGTTCTGAATATTTTAAATGTAGAGCTTTTGGCAGTGACTCTGAAGTATGACTAAAGTATTAAAGAATCAGCAATTTCTGCTGAGTAGTTATGCCAAAGTTTGTCTGACATCATAAGAGTAAAAGGTGTCTTAATGACAAATTAATTCTGGCCATTTAGATGTCAATTATTTCCCAGCTTGTTCAACTATTGAAAGTAAATGTCAGAATTTATCATTTGGCTATATTTCAATACATTATTCTCAATACTTTTTTTTTTATTATTACAGCCTTGTAATTAAAAACAGCACTGGCATATTCCCCAACTAACATCAAACAGCCAGCAGTCTTAACCATGATCATTTATAGCCATTCATTATAAGAACTTTGGGTAGGTTTGCTTCATTTATATTAGGAATAATAGATTTGAAGTAGTAAATTTAGAAGCTGCACAAACCCCTGGGACAAAAAAGTGGGTTTTAATGCTATATTAAAAGCAATCATAACAATATGGCAGTCACAAACCATAAACAGGAATTAAACATGTTTGCTATGTAAGTTTGTACATAGCAAACTTACAGTCATTCAGTTTAGTCATTATACAGTCATTCAGTTTATCAGAGCAGAAAACAAGATGTATAAACAATGCCCTTGCCAAGATTTGTACTCCATACCTCCCAACTGCTGGCTAGGCATGCTTCCAATTACATCAAGAAGGCATGCAATAAGGACAGAGTAAAATCCCCTACAATTTTCTCTCACTTAAAGGGCAACTGGGAAGTAGAAGCTTAGATCTCAGATCCCTTGCGGTGATGCATTATCATCTATCACATTTTAGTTCAAGCACCACTTGCATAATAACTAAGTATGAAGCATGAAACATCAAAAGTTAGCAATGCCCTCTCTGAGATTCAAACTCCAGACCTCTGGATTGTTAGCAGGATGTGCTTCGAGAAAAGCCCTTACAATTTCTTGATTTTTCTTAATAAAAGTTTGGCATAACTTAAATCACAAGAATCGTGAAAAAGTCTGAAAGCTTCCGGATGTTATATTATGTCCAAATGGGTGTTTCCCTCCCCCCTTTACGGACACATACACATTTTGAGAGCATTTGGGCTATTGCCATATTGAGCTAAAAATATTTAAAAACTGTACATCTTCAGAATTTCTCACAGACAGTCTTCCATGCTGGAGATAAAAATGTTTTATTCCCTACAGTGCTGCTACAGCTCACTTTGAAATTGTTGAGTTTTTAATAAAAAATTTGTTAAAGTTTTACTGAATACAAAATTTAAAAAATTTTTGAAATTCCATATTTGGGCTTCTAGGTGCCCATGTTCAGGTGGAGGATTATATTATTCAGAATATGATGACTTCAGGTACCGTTGTTTTTTCACAATGCAGGATGTATATATACATTCACGGACATTCTTCATTATTTAGTTTTCTTTAAATATACTATAATACAGGGCGATAATATTGGGTGGCAACAATTTGAAAAGTAATATAGCCATTTACAGCGATTTGATGCAAAATGCCATTTCGAGACTAATAGCCAACCCTAAGGGCTAATAATAAGGAAGAATGTTATTCTCTTGACATCTCACCACATGCTTAACAAAATTCCAATATGTGGTATAGTCCTTTTAATGTTGATGACAAAGTTCAGTAACGTAGTTTTTTATGCTTGATATTACAATGCAATATCCATCTATCTCTATCTCAGAATTCCTGAAACCAACAGCAACGTGTACTATCGTGAACCACATTTTCTCCACATAAGACAAATCATATAGCAAGTTGCAGTTGCACTATTGCTTTTATCAAACAGTACAGTAAATATCTAATGTATTATATATCACTACCATTTTAAACCTTAAAGCATATTAGTTACTCTGTCAAACTCAGTGATTTTATATATTCTTTGCTACAAAAGATTCCAGTCGTTTCTTTATCATTAAAAGATTTTGAAAATACTAAATGCAATAAAAATAATATTATAAATTATTTTAAATAAGCAAAGCTTTTTTTTTTTTTTTTTTTTTTTCCCCTCCCCTACTCTTTTTCAGTGACACAAATTTCTATCTTCAATTCAAACATCTTTTCGGTTGACAACTTTACAACAGTTAGCTATCCAAAAATGCAAAATTTCTCATTGGCACTAATGAAGCACTGCCTTGTGGTAAAATATTCTGGTCATTGTTACAATTATTGAATCACAGTTCACATCTGTAAAGTGGATAAAACTTCTGCAGACACCCAATATGCAATACCTAACAGGAATAGAAAATAGAATATGTTCCTTAATAACTGATTCTCACTATGAATAAATTTCCAATGGTAGATTCTTCAATATGCTACTAAGCCATTTTATTTTTAAGAAGACCTATTATATAAAATAATTACTATAAGATAAAAATCTTACTTTTGAACCAATGGCCACTGTCAGAATATGAGATCCATCTTCAGCAGACACCCAGTCTAAATGAACAATAGATTTAGGAGCCAGAAGATCTTGGTTTCCTTTTTCTGTTATTGCTTGCCGCAATGTTTGAAGAGTTGCATAACTAGGCACAGATAAAAGGCGCTGAAGTGGCAAACGTTCATTTACATTCTCATCAGTAGACAGTTTCTGCATAAGGGCATCTGCTGTCCTTTTGTTTCTCTGTGAGGCATCAAAAAGAGTATCTAAATTCAAACTCAATTTTGGAAGTGGCAAGACAACATTTCTAAGATTTATGGTATCTTCCAACATCCACTCAGAGCCACCGGTTGATTCACATTCAAAAATTGATACACCTATGTTTACATATCTGTCCTCTGGATTTTTTGAATTGTGACGAGTGAAAGATTTCCCATGTTTGAAAGCGCAGGCCATTCGACCACTGTATGCACAACTAACATATAATGGTTGACCTAGAAAATAATACAATAAATTACATGAATCCAGTTCTCCAAAATGTAACTGGGAATAGTAAAAACTGAAGAAAAATAAATCCTGAGAATTAAATCAATCAGGTAACTATTAAATTTCTATGGCTATTGCAAATATTTTGGCAATATTATACAGATTCAAAAATTTTGATCAATATCACCCAGTTCTCAATAATTTTTACTAAAGCTCTTAAATTCAAATAGTTATTAAAAAAAGTGACTACTAATGTGCATGATAAAGTTTTATATGCAGTAAGCAAAAATTTATTCTAAAAGAGCTGGCAGTACTTAAAATGAAGAACCACAAAACCTTATATTAAATATATTCATCTAAATTTATAATTATTCGCCTGAATTGAACAGGGTTACCTGTTAAGACACAATAACACGCCGAATAAATACTAATTCAGAAGTCCAACAACAAAAATCAGCGTTATATTTACAAAATTTTCACAGTGAAAATTTTGTAAATATAATGCTGTTTTTTGTTGTTTGACTTCTGAATTAGGGTTACCTGTATTATGGCAAAGTGCATGAGAGCTGTCTGCCTAAGGGGAGGAGTGGCTTTGGGGAGAACTTTTAAAGGGAACTGCCTTGTATTTATATTGTACATGAGGGGAAAAAAACCATGCAAACTCTCCTGCAGCCAGCTTGTTCACAGAGATTTGAAATTCAGCTGTACTACCAGTACTCAGTAATTCTACCCTTAGGCCTTCTCTGGGACTAGGCTCACAAAGCCTAGGTCTATAAGCCGACCAGATCACTCTATAGCTGCTCATAAAACTGTTTTACACTTATGAAAATAAGAAACATGGGCTTTGAGGGCTCCTGAAAGAATAATTTGTTTAAGACTCTAAAATAGCTTAGCTGGGACGAGACACATGTTTGTATCAGAGATACATATGTTTGTATCACAGAAATGCAGGATTCTTAAAAGGAATTTTAATAAGAAACATAATTTTAAAAAATATGAATATAAATGTTGCTCATATTCTGCTTTCTATGATGATTGTAAAATAATTATAATATTTTTACTCTAAGCTAACTAAAGGTTAAGAATAATTGCTTAAACTGGATTTTGATTCAAAAGGGCTGCTTTAACTTTTTTTAATTTGTATTTGAATTATTTAAACTCTTCAGGTATTCATAGTTTGTTGAATTATTTAAATTCTAATTACTATTTAAATCTCCAAATTTTGAATAAATGTAAATGTTAATTTAACAATTCAGTTCCATCTCTTTGAAAGTGTATGTTAAAACACTGTCATGGTTGAATAAAATCAAATTTTCTGACTTGTACCAATGGTTATGAGTAAAGTAGAAAATAAGCCATAACTATTATCTTTTATCATACCAATATGTAAAATCCTGAACTGTTTTATTCAAAATCTGTTTTTATAACAAACACAAAGCACACTATTTTATTTGAGTTAAAAGTTGAAATACTGTGTGTGTGATTATGGCAAAGCCTCAAGGGCTATCTGCCTAAGGGGAGGGATGCCTTCATGGAGGACTTTCTAAAGGAAACTGGTTCGTATACACGTTACACATGGGAAAACCACATAGAGCCATGCAGCCAGCCCGTTCGCGAAATTCGAACTACCAGCAATAAGCAACTTTACCGCTTGTCCAAAAGTTGAAATAGATAAATTTTTAAATAAATATTATAACTGAGTTATATTTTACACAATGTATAATTCAATAAACAACAGGAATGTCATTTGTTCAGTCTTTTGTTTTTAAAATACTACATTGTTATTATTACTACATAACTTACTATAGTGAAACATTTGAAAGCTATTTGCTTTGGGAAAGGTTCTTTTGCAGAGTATTTTTACAAGAAAGTGATACCTGTTACACATTTTGAAAACTATGGAAATACAACCTAGCCTGCAACATGCCAAAAAATTACAGCTTACTAAAAAATTATTTGTCATTCATTTGTCTGTTTGAAGCATTTGTTCATCTTATGTAGATGGACTTTACTGCAGTGGTCTCAAACTCAAATTGCCCACAAGCTGAATGCGTGATCTGCAAACAATTGCCGGGCCCCACAATTTTTATTACTAATATAAAAAATATTTAAAATAAATTTTAAATTCTGCTTTCTAGGTACTTTTCAAAACACACTTTAATCAATAATAATACTGAGAACCTCAAATTTATATTTATTTTCCATCTGAAATCTGAAAGTTTGGCATCTGCAAGACATTTTTGTAGCTTACACTTTGTAATTCAAATAATACTGATAACTACGTGTTAAATTTTCAGACTGCCATTTATTTAAAATAGTACTCGTCACAATTTATTTAAAATAATTTAATCTATTTTAAATAAATGGCTAGCCATTTATTTAAAATAGATTATTTAATAAAAGTTTAAGTAATTATTAAAGAGATTAATTTAAACTGAAAAGAGTTACGAAAACCTTTTCAAAGAAAAGTTTCCATGTAGGATAAAATTTGAGAATAAATAATGACAACTCAGTCTCTCTTATTTATTAAATTTTCCTTCAATGCATAAGTAAAACTACATATATTTGTACTTAAATAATTATAAACTTCTTTTATTCCTTAGAACAACCTTGATACATGATGGTATTTTGATTTTGATAAGGTTTCTAGCCTTGGAGAGAAATTATTCTAAATTATTTTTATCACAAAATTTAGATGTCCACCATCAAGAGGGTTTTTTCCTTATTAAGCTTGAAGTTTGAAAAAATGCTGTTCACATATAAATGTATTTCTGAACAAAGATATTACTCTTAGTGCAAAAATTAGCTGAACTTATTTATTTTCTGAGGAGTACAAATAAAAGTTAATGAAATCTCTATCTTCACGTATTTGAATAAAATTCATATTTCACTGTAAATTAATTAATTCAATTTATAGATTTTCTAAAGTGTTATTCACACTAGTTTTTAATTCTATTAATTCATGTTATAATTTTCTATAATTAGAATTCCCATTATTTTTTCATTAATTACTAACATGAATGATATGTTATTCACATTAGCAATTAATGAAAATAATGTGAACTTGAACTTCAAATAAATTAAAACCTTGTAATCTTTAAAATTACTTGCAACAATCTCATAATTCGCAAATGTATTAAAAGAACTTCACAAGCAGCAATAAGAAATTTACTCACAGCAGAAACATACTAAAAAGGGGGGAAACATTAAAAGGGGATAACTTTGTTTCAAACATATAATGCAAGTCTTGCTTATTCATTACTGCAAAACAGAAATAACAACTTTCTTCCTTTAAAATTTAAAAAAGCCTTATACATTATATAAGAAATAAAGAGAAAATCATGAAAGGAAGCAACTCTCCAATAAACAGCATTTAAATCAAAAATAAAGCAAAATAATACAAAACAGAAACAAAAACAATTTTTAAAAATCAATAAAACACAATAAACTAATACAAAATATAAAATGCATAATTGTTGAAAATTCCTTAGTTTTCTTCAAGAAGCAGCCAAAGAATATTCAACGTAGCCACATTTCTGAATTATGGCTAGATGACTGTAAATTATTGAAATATTTCAAATTAAAAATTAATTGCTAATCAAAAGTATTTAATTAAAGCAAAATGCTTTAAAATTACAATAAAGTAAAAATTTTAAATTTTTTATTTTATTGTTTATTGTTTATCTTTTAATATTTAGAAGTTACAAAATTATTACTATACAACTGTTCATTTTAAAATTTTTGTAGCTTATTTTTTAAATATTTATTTTAGAGTCACCTCAAAGCAGATTACAGACAAGGAATTTTCAACAATTACATAATTTACACTTTTGTATCAATTTACCATGTTTTATTAATTTTGCTGAATTATGTTTGCTTCTGTTTTGTATTATTTTGTTTTGCTTTTGATCTGAATCTCTCCTATCATGATTTAATTATTTTCTCTTGATTACTCAATTTCACAGCATACTGACAATTCTAATAATATATATCATCTTAATTTGAAATTTCTCAAATTTTATTTATATACAAGACTTAGATTTTAAAATTTACAATCCAATTCAACAAATTTTAATTACAAAATCTTCTTCCTTCTGGCGTTTATTTATGGAAAACAGATTTATTAATTACCTGGAACATGAACAGAACTACTAGTTTTATTTAGCATCATTTCCCATTCCACCCAATTATATTGCACATCATCCTTATTTTCTCCCTGAATTGTTTCACATTTCCAGAATCTAAAACAAGAAAAAGTTAAAGCAAAGATGAACAATAAGTTTGAATGTCAGAAGCTTAAATATATATATATATAAAAAAAACTTTCATAATTTATAGTTGTAAATTTATTAAAAGTTACTCCTCCCTCAAGAATTCTTAAGAGAAAACCAAATTTCGAAAATAAAACCAGAGAAAAATGATTACAGCATTGCCAACTGTGATGTTAGAATGAATGTAAGCAATTTTATGGATTTAAAAAAAAGATTCCCCCATTTGCAGTATACAGAACTGTAGGGTACTTCTGGTAGAGTAACTAAAATTACTGTCTTTTAGATTCTAATGGACTGAAAAGCGAGTTATCGCTTTAGTCTGAATGAATGACAAAGTCAGAAAAAGGTTAAAACTACTTTTTTTATTGAACTCTGAAACTGAACAAAAAGTACTACTTGTGCTACAGAATATAATTCCAATATTTAGAGGTATTTAAAATAATTAAAAATACAAAAAATAAGACTGGAAGTTTAAATTTCAAGTAGCATAGCTTGAGGCATACAAACTAGTCTATTTAAGTTGTCTCAAGAAATTAATGATGAATATTTCAAATTATTCAGATTCTTGGTTTATATACACATCAACTAATTTGCATTCTGGTGAGGACTACAGAAAGAAAAAAGTTCAATCATTATAACTGGTTAATTAATATAAAATTCCACAAAGAATTTTCACAATTTCAATAGAAAAAAGTATATTACCTCACATTATAATCTGAACATGCAGTACAGATAAGATAGGGAGCAAAACAAGCTGGATATATATTGGAAGAACTTAGATGGCCAGCAGCAGGAGCTGCATGTACTATTTCAACATCTTCTGGCAAAGGTAATATTTGAGTACAGACCTTTAAAAAATAAAAATTTTCCAATGAAAATAACCAAGATAATTTTTTGTAGAAATATACATTAAGTTACTTCAAATTTGCAAATTAATATTTTCTTTCAATCAAAGCCTCATATGTTTAATTTTGATAACTTTAATGAAGAATGATTAAGAAAATGCACACGTGACTATCCAACTCACATAAGGTCTCTACCAGCAAAATTCACATAAAAAAAAACATTTATTTTTTAAAAAATTTAAGCAATTAAATTTTTAAAAAATTATAAAAATGTAAAATTTCAGTAAAAAACTTGTTGTATTGCTATAGATTTTTGTAAATTTAATTTCCCAATTTAATAATATTTGGTGATATTTCATACATTCATTAGAACTTTCAACATATTTAGGGATGATTCAACTCTATTCACTACAGTTTTCAGTACAATTAACGCAGCAGAAAATATATCAAAATTTCTTTTCCAATTTGTACAGTCATCCCATTGCGAGTACAGATTTGTGAATTGTGATTTCACATATATGCATTATTTTAAATGTTTCTATTTTATTTGTACAACACTAAATTTCATTCATGTGCAACTCAATGTTCATTCATCAACACTAGCCAGAAGTTATCAACAGTTTTAAAGGATTTCTACTGATTGAAAATGAAGCCAAAGAAGTTGTAGAAACTGCAATTGGCTGCAAAGACTTTTCAGATATAGGAGAAGTCAAAGAATTAATTAAAAAGTAACGAATGAAGAACTGGATGCCACGAGGGAAAGCAGTAAAAAATGAAAAAGATGATAAAGCACCTTTAATTTACAAAAAGTTAAATTAATTGTTAAAAATGGTACAGAAGCTGTTTGATTCTGAAGTGGAGATAACTCCAAACGAAGAAAGAAAATGGCACTTTATAAACAGCATTGAAAATTACAGTGCTTATTACCACAAAACGTTAAACAGCTGCGTTAATCAATATCCCAAGCAAAAATTACCAGTTTTAGAAAAATAAATTAAAATAAAAAATTAAAAGTTTTAAAATGGATAGAATGGACTTAATAAACTGGTACTGATAATAAAATTCTTTCAGTTAATATATGTTTAATTTCTTTTCCTTTTAATTACAACAATACTTACATTTAAATTACACATACTTTCTTAATCTGAATTATACCTAACACATTTTTTTTTCCATAAAAAGTTAATTTGTGGAACACAATTTTGCCATGCCTGCAATGTATCAATTATATAACTCCCACATTTGGCATGGTTTTCCTGTATATGAAAATATATTATTAAGACTTAGATATTATATATTAAGACTTATAGATATTATATAGACAGAAGACTTATAGATTGATATTATATAGATTGTGAAGACTTATAGATATATATTGTGAAGAAAGCCTCTATCAAAAATATCTGCTAACTTCAAAATTATCTTTATATTACAATAATTAAAGTTTTTGGTTAATAGCTAAAAATCACTGATCATGCACTAATATATTTCTACTGCATAACTATAAATGGCACAAGGAATCTTACGCTGGATTTTCCAAAAATGCTCACATTGTATAATACTTCGAAAATATCCATAAAAACAAAAATGACGTCTATAATGGAAATTTCCTGCATTTTCTTGGATTTTATGATTTTTTTTAATATTTTTAGAGTCCAGAGACTTACTTTCTTAGTTGTAACTCGAAGAGGTGAAGCTTGTGCAAATGCATAAGATGTGTCGTGAGTTAACTCAGGTGTTGGGCTTCTTGAAGATTGATTTGAATGATCACTTTCTTGAACTAGGTTACTGTCAGGAACATATGTAAAATTACACTGTTCTTGATCTGAAAATAATTAATATAAACTGCAAACTTTCATTACAAAGAAAGATGTGCATGAAAGCACATAAACACAGATGAGAAAAAGATTAAAACAACATAATAGAAATTAAACTCTAAAATCATAATTATTACAATTTTTGCATTAGCCAGTACCTGCTAATACATTATCAAAAATTACTCACCTGACTCTGATCATCTGATATTATGAGCAATCAGTAGCTATTCCAGATTCTTCTACCAATTTTTTTATTTTTTTTTTTTTATTTATTTATTTATTTCAATGTCAACTTAGGAACAAATAGAGCAAGTGCATATCTGCACTGTATAGTTTTTTTAGTAGTCTTCCCATACATAAAATTATAAAAAATATTATAAAGTTCTTTGAAAAACTCATTTGTTCATGTTGTGTTAATTTTTACTGCATTTTGCAACATGTATTGACTAGATATTCTCAATTCTCAAAAAGAAAAACAACCAATTATTTTCAAACCTGTGGTATTTTGTAAAAAAAAAAAAAAAAAAAAAAAAAAAAAAAAAAAGACAATTTGTTTCAATTTGTATGCAATGAAATTATACATATTATTGGAAGATAAAGAATGAAAATATAATGCCAACAACTGTCGTATCAGATTTTTAAATAATCATTCTGAATGAACAGGGAAAAATTTATAATTTATTCAAATAAGTAAAATCATAAATAAAATAAATAGCCATAAACAACTGAAGGAAAACACAGATATTTGGTAAATTCTCATTGACATGCAAGAAATATTGTAAATTCCTGACATCACTAACAGAGCAAATTCAAAAGTGCTATTCAGCTAACTCTCAGACCTAATCTCTTCCTCATTCTCTCAGACCTGAGTAACAACTCATCTAGACTCTCAAAGCCAATTTACATGGCACAGGCGTTTGGAAGCTTTAGAAAAAACTGCTCTTAGTGTTTCAAAAACACATTTTACCAAAATTCCTAGAAAACTGCCAAGTTAGGGAGAAATGGCCAAATGTCACCAAGGCCAACTGGGAGTGTTTTTTCTCCACATATTGTGTTCTAGTTGAATTATTTTAACAATTTAACCCTTGCTGGATTCAGAATTAAAAATTCTGCAATTCAATACAAGAAATAAACATTATATACAAAAGTCGTTTCTACAATTTGAATACACACAAAATACAACCAAATGCTATTATCTAAATTCTAAAATTAAACACATAAATAAATAAGATAATGCACAAAAATCACAAAAAACAATCAAAAAATTTATATATTTACAGATATGTATAACAATAGGGACAGTCAAGAATAATAACCTGAAGCAATTTTAAATGTGACAGCCATACAATATCTAACAGAAATCAAAAGCTCTATTAAATCAATGGCTTAATATCAAAAATATATTTCATCCCCAAAAGGCACCAACAAATTACTGGCAGTGTATTGGACAGGTAAAAGTTAATAGAGATAGTACTAATAATTCTGTTCTCTTATAGCAGTCAGACACACAAAAAAGAAGAAACAGATAAATTTTAAAGCAACACATTACAGTAATATAAGTTACCTTCAGATCCACATGATGAAGCAATGACTATTTTCCACATATGCAAAATTGATTTATCTTCTTGCTTTTCAAGAATCACCAAATAGAAAGGTTCCTCAAACACTGAACTATGCCGTAAATCTACAATTGCTTGCAAGTCAGGCTGAACTAAGCTGATACTACTACCTTCTCGAGGTGTATTTTTTGCTTGGGGACTGCTATAAATTAGCTGCTCTTGAAAGACATGTAACAGTTGGGTATTTTGCCAATCCTAAAAGATAATTCCGAAATTATTTTTAAATTTTGCATTTAAAATGCTTTATAGTTTATGTCATTTATCTAGCATCAAATAAAGAGTGAATATCTGATTACCATTTCACTATATACCGTGTCCACAAACGTCCATACTCAGCCTTTCTCTTCGCAATCCTTACTCATAGACATACATTTCCATCCACAAAATTATTTTACATGGTGCAAATATTCATGATTTGGGCTTTTTTAATTTAAAAAATTCAATTTGTAAAACTTAGAAAATCTAACATTATATTCTCTGTGTTTCTCTACTTATATTTACGAAAATTTTATAGTTCTTATTAAAGTTCTAAAAGTGTGACATCTTTGCAACAAATTGGCAGAGATATTTGATATTAAAGTCAAAGATCATATTCAGAGCCCATCCACAAAGAGGCGAGATAAATGTTTGCAATTGTGCATAAATAAAATAAAACACCAGTTTAGAAAAGATTTCTGATGTTAAAGAGATTAAATAATAAGCATTTTTTATGCAGATTGTCGTGAAAAATTTTGATCAATGTGTTGTTTTCCAAAAAAGATCTTATTCACAAAATCTTACAGAATTTGTGTTATAGAAAACACATTATCTGAATAAACTAAAAATGAAAAGTATCTTCAATTCAATTAATTTTTGTACAGTTATTAGATAATTATCCTTACATGATAAAATTTCAAAAGAATATTAAACATATTTTCAATGTTCAATTTAAATAGCAGGAAAATAGCCTAACTCACATGAGTAGCATCCATAATTGAATCTAATTCTATCACACAGCCTGGCCTTGAAGTTGATTGTTCGCTAACAATTTTGAATGTATCTTGCAGAGTGCTGTGACGATAGCCTAAACCTGATGAAGTGCTACTACTCTGGCTCAGGTCCTAGAATAAATTAAATGAATTAGTTACAATGAAAAACAAGAAAGCCTTTGAGATTCTACTTAAAAATACAATACTTTTATTATGCAATTAGATAAAAAAAATCTTATTTGTATTCAACCATGAGCCATATTTACAACATGCTCACATACTTTTACAAAATCCCAAGTACCTGGTTACTCAAAGAGTGTTTATTATTGTGAAAACCATGCACAGAGATCTTTCAATGCCTGAAAAACAGGTTCAAATATATTGAACATTTTTAGCATGCTTAACCTGGGATTTCTACCAGAATATTATCAATTTTTCTTTCAGTAACTCAATGCATTAAATCCTTCTCTTTGACACCGCCTTACAGCAACAGGTGTTTTTAATAAGAATTAAACATTTATTAAAAGGCTACCTGAAAATGGAACAATCTTGGAATAACATGACATGCTCTAAAATTTAGTTTAGTTTTCAGTCCACATGGATGGTAAAAGTACAAGCTTTTGTAGTTTCTCATAAATTGGATTCAAATAAAAGAAGACCAAATATCAGAAAGAGGCAGAATAATTGAAAATGTTTCTGGATGATACCAAGAAAATGTGAAATGAAGAAAAGAAATCACTTTCATAGTGAAAATGAAGATAAAACTGATTTTCAGATTTAAAGCAGTGATCATGACACTGAATGGTGTCCGCCAATAACATCGCGGAGAAAACGTCGTGCTACAAAACATCGTGGGAGAAAACATCGCAAAGAGAAAATATCACAGTTCTAGAACATCGTGGTACAAAATATCGTAGTCGAAAATAAAGCGGTTCAAAACTTCGCATTTAAAAACATCGTCGTTGAAATATCGTATAAAAATAAAGTATCGACAAATCATCGCATAATAACATCGCACCTGCTTTTTTCGGGCTTTAGACTTTGAAATGGATATCCCATAATGTTTGTGAGTGCAAGGGAAAAAGATAATTTTTTACTTTCATATTTTTATAAACTATAATTTGCTGAAAAAGTAAGAAGGAACTTAATACTTAAGATACGAGCAGAACAGAAAAATTTTCATTATAAATAGAGTATAGATTGACAAAAGGAAAAATAATTCATAACTGCATTTTTTATAGCTAAGTCTGCATTACGTACTTCCTTTTCTAACATTTTAGATTATCTTTTAATGAAATTACCATAAAACTGTATAAAAGGATTTATTAATGATCTTTGTAGTGAACTATGTCGGTTTAAATTCTATTAATGCTATAAGGCCTTAATTTTTTATGTTTAAATTTCTTCTTACTTTTCATCAAAAATTTATATTCAAAATATGAAGTAAGATTATCTTATTTCCACTTGCGCTCATAAATATTAGGAAATATCATTTACAATTATTAAGCCTTAAAAAGCATGTCTGTGATTTATCGCCAGGATGATTTGTAGATATTTATTTTTTACCGCGATATTTGCGACGATGTTTTAACTGCGAAATTTTTAACCGCTTTATTTTGGACGACGTTTTTTATCACTATGTTTTAGAACCCGCGATGTATCTCTTTGCGATGTTTTGTATCACGACGTTTTCGCCTTGCATTGTTTTCTCCGCGATGTTTTTGCCGCGATATTTTCGGCTGTAACCCACTGAATTTAAACCCCAAAAATACCAAAGCATCAACCAAACATTTTAGCACTTAACAGACTATTAACACTTATAATGTAATAACAAAAATAAGGATGGGGGAGGTTGGAAAAAAAAATAATTTAACCCAAAAGTCAGGATTAATGTATCATCACATTAATGTAATGTAACATCATCACTGAAACCTGCTGCCTTGGCTATAACAGATACACATAACTGCTGAGGACTGTTCACTGATTTCTCTATGGCAAAGATGTTGTTTTACGAGTATAGTAGATTCCAACCTAAATGGGTGCTTAGCCTCACTTAATCTGTGGTGCAATTGTCTGAACAATGGATGACTTGGCAGACATCTGCTTGGGAAGCACTCTCGGTACATGCATCTCGTTGCTTTTCCATTTCCATCAATGGCTCCATAAATGTAATGCATATCAGCCATTTCCTTGTTACAGAACCAACGCATCCTTCTCCTGCATCTTTCTTGCCTGAAATGATACTGTTTTTCAATATGCATGAGAACACCACCCTCTGCAGTGGCTGGTCTGAGTTTTCAATACAACTTCCTATATAAAACTTATTCATCATGCTCTTTGATATAAACACCATGATAAAAAAAAAGTCTGTAAATGACCTTCTGGTAAACCTTGTACTTACTACTCAATACATGCCTTCTAACAGGCTAGTAAATAATGTTCCAAATATAAGTAAAATTGCATATATATTGTGGGGTATCAGGTATTAACTCCTTTTGCTGCTGCTGTCTCATGGCGTCATCTCTTAGTGACGGTAATAATTACACCACAGTGCTATTAAGGATTATTACAAAGATAACAGACTATAAAATTAATATTATTATCATATAAAATACAAAAATTTGACAGTATACAAATTATCATTAGTGACAGTTGAAACCATCCATCTTTTTACTTTAATAATTTATGACTTAAAACAAAATAATTCTATGTTCTAAAAATTTTTAAGGAATATTCATATACAGTACAAAGTCTGAGATCTAGACTCATCAGAACTTCGGCAATTCTGCATTTGGGATTTTTCCAGATATTAGATCATCAGTTTAAATCTAGTAAGATGGCATGTAGAAATTATAAAATTAACTATATTAAATCCTGATTTATGAAGTAATGAAGCATTTATGATCTAAATGGTGTCAAAATTTACAAAAAAAAAAAAAAAAAAAAAAGGCTTAATATTTAGTTGTTAAACATTTCTTTCAATGTTAGTTGGTTAAGTTGCTTCGTTTTTTTGCGCTAATACTTTCTCTTTAATTCTATACACAGACACAATTTCTTGTTCAGTACAAAGTTCCATTTATGTTCAAGTCCTGTAATGTGTCGCGAATTCTGACTAACTTGTCAATTGAATTTTTTTTGTTTTCAATAACCTCTCTGTCACTTTATTCGCTATCGGTAGTGGTATTTTCTGGATTTAGAACCATATTACAGATTTCATTGTCTGTTAACTGACTGATGATTGGGGCATTGTCATCGCAATGAAAACTTCTCTTATAGCACCTTCATTTGTTACTGCTTCTTTCTTTACAAAATCCATTAAATGGAAAATTTCACCTTTGGTTTGAAACATCCAAAAACCTTCAAATTCGCAGCTATTATCTTCATCATCCTCACCATGAAATATGGTAGCTGGCCATAAATTATGCCAAGCATTTTTTAAAGTATCTGGAGACACATCCTCCCACAATCTTGCTGCTATGTCCCACACAGATGATTTTAGTCAAATATTTAAAATTCTTTAACGTCTTGCCATATCAAGAAATTTAACATGATTTTAAAAATGCTATTTTATTTGCATTTCACGTGCACCTAAAATATCCATGGCTGAATGATGTACTTACGATTTGGAGGAAGAATAATACAGTACATTACTTTCTCTAAGACTTTGAGATCGAACAGTTGACGACATCAGGTCAATTTTTTCGTCATCAGTAACAATCGAATCAAATGTTGCCCTGGCCTTGGCTATGAATCGATTTCAACCAATCATTCATAAATGCTTGTGTCATCCCGCTCTTTTATTTCTGATATCTATGTTAAATTCTTTACTCCTTTAACCCCTTGGCCTACACGATATCTGCCAATTGCGCGAGCTATAGTAAACAAGAAAGTCAGTCGCATGAAGTGCTATTCAACTGTTCAGCCATGTACCTGAACAGGCACATAATGTATAATTTCAGTGTAGTGAAAGGAATTTTGAAATAATAAACAATGTTTAGGTACAAATAGTAATTTTAACACATCTAGAGTGTAATCATAATCAATTGATCAGTTAACAAAAAGAATTGCATGATGGGTATAAGAGTTTGGCATGATGGGTATAAGAGTTTTTTTAAGTCTTCATACAAAATTATATTTGAAACATATGAACATAACGAAGCTTTACGGGGAACTAAAGTAACAGATCATCCAGTTTCATCAGAAACAACTGAAAAAAAAAAAAAAAAAAAATACTGATGTTACAATCAAAGGAAAAATATTCAATATAGAATAACTCCAATCGCTTGTTCTAATAATAATACACGACATTTTATGCACAAACTCCTCACCACTAGTCAGACTCGTGGCTTTTGTTTATAACACAAATTCTTTACCATGAGTCAGACTCGTGGCTTTTGTTAATGGCACAAATTCTTTACAACGAGTCAGATTTGTGGCTTTTGTTAATGGCACAAATTCTTTACCATGAGTCAGGCTTGTGGCTATAGGCCAAAGAGTTAAATACTCGAGCTCGTATATTTTTTCAGATTACAAAAAGTTCACACACTCGTGCATTTCTACAACATTTGCACATGTTAAAATTGTTAGTTTTACTTTGGAATCTTTCACATAATATGGAGTTTTTTCTGTAGAGGTTGCCAAGGTATTTCGCAGTACATATTGCCAGAAAAGACCAGTCTCATCAGCGTTGTAAATTTGTTCTAGAGATAACGTTTCACTATTAATGAGTTCAATGAATTAATCTGCAAATAGTTCAGCAGCTTCAGTTATAAGCTGAAACCTTTTCACCTGAAAGATTTAATTGCCTTACAGCATGGCGATTTTTAAATTGGTTAACCAACCTGTCGAATATATGCACTCAATTTTTAAGTTAATTTCTTCATGGAATATTTTGGCTTGAGCTATTAGCACTGTATCCGTCAATGGCATGCCCTCGCTGCAACGCTGTTCTGACCCATTCTATGTTCACTTTGTCATGATTGTCATGTCTAGCACAACGAATAATTTTTCTGTTATTCATTGCGAGTGGGGTGTCGGAATCACAAAACATTTTTTTTTTAAATATTTTTTCTGCTTTCTTATGTCATATATATTTCAATGCCATACTCTTCAGATAATTTTGAGACAGATACACCTTTATCCATTTTTTGTAGTAATTCCACTTTTTGTTCAATGGACATCAAAACATCTTTCATTTTGTAAATCTTTTTGCAGCTCCAGAATTAGAAACTGTTTTCAATGTAATCGAAAGTTCAAACTTTCATTTTCATAAAATTGCTGTAATAATAACAGCCTGCAAAAAATAATAAGCTAGATCAAATCAGAAAGTTAAGGAACAGGTAAATCTCCTGTATTAACTGAAATTCCTTGGAATCAATACAGTATAATTATAGCCTAGCTTAATAATGTCTGCTACACATTATTGGCTATATATCATAAGATTCACGAAGAAAGACAAGTTCTGCTCAGTTTTGTCTTGCTTCTATGGCACATTTATACAATTAAGTCTGAATTGTACTAATTCAGTTATTTATTATAGTCTATTTTTTGCAAATGCTTAAGCCTTAGCTGAGTCCTGAATAAATAAATCTGCACTTGAGGCTTATCGAGGGTCAGTGCTAGATATTTTACCACCTGATGCAGTCTCTGGGGGGTCCTAAATTCTATTATAATGTGCCTCCTCAAGTTCTAAATTTTTGCTGCCCCTAAATTTTGGGTCCCAGTGCTTTCCATAAATCCTAAAAATTTTGTAATCTCTTAATTGTGTTGCTCAATGCTTGATCAATGTACTCATGGTAAAGAATTTGTGCTAATTTGAGGGGGAATATTGAAAATTGTAAGAGATGAGAGATATTTTAATTGTTAAAATTTTCTTCCAAAAATTTTAGTTAAAAATTACTGGAAATTTTTTTTTCAGCTTAAAATCATTTTGTCTTACAAAACCATTTAATAATATTCATAAAAAGCAGATGCAAGTTCTTAAATAAAAAAATAATTCAAAAGGTACTGAGTCCCCTTGTTGCGTTGAAGCCAGTCTTTAGTTTTAATGTGAACGGTATTTCTGGAATACCCAGCATCAGATAACCTTGTTTGTACTTATTTACAAATTTCCGTATTTTGTCCAGTTATATATAATTTTGTGAATGATATTGCATCCACAGATATCTATCTACCAACACGACTGTTTCGCTGACAGTCCAGCGAGCAGTCAGTTGCACGTCAGCCAAGCTGTTTGTTAAAATTAAGTGAACCGTGCTATCGCACAGTGCATTATGGTAAATATCCCCATTTTCTGCTCCCCAGAGGTAGGAATGTTCTACCAAATTCTACCTCCAATTTGGAGATGCTTGTTCGCTGTGTGAATGGGACACGTTGAAAGAACCAGTTTTCGCTGCCAGTCGAATCTGCTCTTGTACACAGGGCTTACGTAGAATGTTTATTTGAGATGTATGCTAAGCAGAATGAGATATTTTATTTAGTGCCATAGTGAAATTAAGAACCTGAACTTTCCACATATTTTAATATGGGGGGAAAAAAAACAAATGTGCATGTGTAAAGCATACTAAAAAAAAAAAAAAGATTGTTGGCGGTTTTGAGGTCTGGATTTTAGATCATTCCTGATATTGGACGTCCAGATCTCAGACTTTGTACTGTATTTTTATTTATACAGCATAATTATATCAAATGTACTACCAGCTCACTTTTGTAAATCATTACCCTTAAGGAACATGCAATAGAATTCTGATAATCTGCACACTTTAAAACCAAGGGAGAGCACAGATCACAGAATTCTGTAGACTTATAAGTCATTTTTTTTAGTTTTGCTTATATTTTTCTTTTTGTAATTTTGACATAATTTGGGTTGTTTGCACACAAATAGACAACCAAAATATAATCCTACCTTAATCCCGATTTATTGAACACTGCAAAAAAGCTATTATATTTTTTGGTACTTACATATCATCCTGTCAACCGTAAAGTTGTTGCCAAGCAGCATGATTTAGCGCTAATTACGGATAACATAATGTAACAACATACTCATAACATCAGCGCTTTTATTTAATGTAAACCCTTTTGATTCTTGATAAACTACCTTCTATTTTTACTGTATTTTCCCTAGCATTTTGAAGGGAAAAAAAAAGATTAAAATTTGAGATCTGTCTTTCACAGAATGTAGCAAGCAGCTTATTATTTTCGAAGTTACAGTATCTTACTATCAAAAAGGTGTGAATTAATAAGCACAATAAGATAGGTGAACATGGCTGACAAAATGGTAACAGATTGGAACAATCACCCGTGGAAAGTCTGTACTCATAACATTCTAAAATACAGCTTCCAGTAAAATCAGAAAAACTAGCCCCCACCCCCACCCAAAAAAAAGGGGGGGAAGAAAGGAAAAAAAATCAACAAAAGCATTTTTACTAATGCATATTAGAAGAAAATGCCATTATAACCGACACACAGAATTTTCTGAATTCAAATTTTGTTTATTCCTATCAAAAAATACAGGCATTTGCAGATTATCAGAATTCTATAGTATAACAAAATTTCTCACCTGCACATCATTTCGTCGAGAAGAACGAGAAATTTCTGCAAGTAAATTCCTTGCATCTATAACAGCCTGATAGATTCTCAATTGATGGCCATCAGAAGCCACAAAACAAGCACTTGGTGAATTAGAAATACTTCCTTGTGTTGTACTGTTAAAGAAGAAACATAAAAATAGTAAGAAAAGGAAATGCTGTGTATTCAACACTTCAAAGTTCCAAAACATTCTACAATTCTATTTATACAGATAAACCATTTAGTATTAAATATCTTTTTCATATTTACTAAAATAAACAGAAGCTTCACTCAGTAGCTAAATAAAATTTTAAGATTAATAGCACACAATACTCAAAAATTTAAAAGCAATGTCAAGTTTAAGACTTATAAAGAACATTCTCAAAATTTAAAGACAAATTTCTTTTTTCATGGTAATAATAGTCATGCAATCAAAAGGAGATAATACATAACTAAAACTTTTCTAATGCAAAAAAGTAATAATTTTAACCGCAAGTATGAAATAAAGTTGCACACATCAATTTCCTTCTATTTTTCTAAAAGCAGTCACAGATGATGCATATGTATCATATGGTTTAAAAAGAATAAAATGCTTAAATAATATGAAGTTTAACATTTTGAATTAATAACAGTCAAAAATGCAAAAGCAGATTAAAACTTTTGAACATTTCCCACAAATCTAGCATTACATACTGAAAACAGCATTTCTAAAGACAATGACCCACTTTACTACTACTACTATTCTTAACTGACCCTAGAATCTAATAAAGAAAGGGTATGGTTTTACTTCTGCCAACATCCTTTATCTATTCATATAATTCTCAATGCCTCAGAATATTGCCTATGCATTTTTTTGTTTACTTTCATAAGCAATATTAAAAATGCACCAAGGGTTAATTTTAATAAGAGAATCATAAATATATAACTTGCCTTGGTAGCAAAGTAGGAATCCATGCTACATTGGCAAAAGCTGCTGTTTCTAAGGAATTGATCCTGGCTAGTTCTGTGACTCCTCCAGATTTAGAAAGTGGACCTACTGGATCAACCTTCCATAGAATTAGCTCACTACAGAACCCCAAATTAAATCCAACTGGCAAGCTAGTTATGCAACAACATGGGCTATTAGGAACAGATGGACTTGAAGTACCTGAGGAGCTTTGGATCTTATCAGGCAAGTTATGATGAGATGTTGTCAGTAACAGAGGAAGTACAGGATGGCATGTAATATCATTAATTCGGAATCTGTGACCACAAACACGGGTTGAATGCCCTATACTTAATACCTGTAATGAATTGTGAGAATATTAATTATGTCATTAAATTAATTATATATTATTATTAATTATGTCTACATTAAAAATAATAATCAT